ACGTCAAAGATCGATGTCCTGATCGTCTCATCCTCATGGACAGGGGTATGTGTGCGCGATGCTGCGCGAGAGGTCCCGGACAGAGCTGGGTATGGGGAAAAACGGGGGCCTTCGGTGCCACCCGCGGCGTGCGGGCGACCCACAGTGCGTTGGGGCGTACTGTCTTCGGCATTGGGTGCACCAGTAGAATAGGAACGGGAGTGGGAATACGACATGGAGGCGGGCGCCTAACGGAGATGGTGGTGGTTAAGGTGCAAGGAGCGGCGTCCAGCTAGAGGTTCGTTGGCCTGTCTTGGGCCGCCATGCACAATGGAAAACTCAATACACACACTATCGCCCTCTGTCAGTGGAGGAGTGTAATGTGACGCTTTGTTAGACTGGAGTCACGTACTAAGGCTATGTAGTTGTCGTTCAAAATGGCCGAGTCGTGCTGTACCAGTACAATACGAAATGAAACCGGAGTCCGTACCTAGTGACGAGTCAGCCATAATGTGCTGATGGGAGCGCGCGCATCGGACCACGTAGCTCTGAGTCGCTGTGGCTCCGCATGGAGCCCCTATTTCTAATGGCTATCATCTCGGTGCGGAACCGATAGCCCATATTTTCCGTTTCGGACATTAGAAGGAAACTTCTTTGCATAGCCGAGTTCATCGGCACCGGGAGTGCAATGACGACCGTCATACACTATAAAGACCATCGGATTCGAGTCGGCGCCCGTCATTGACACCAGCGATCCCAATTTTGTCACTCGCGATGGAAGACAAGACAAAGGTCATCATTGCTGGAGCCGGTATCGCAGGTCCCGTGCTGGCCATTTTCCTTACATTGAAGGGATACAATCCCATCGTATATGAACGTATCGACACGCTCGCAGATTCTGGCCTCAGTCTTTGGTAAGTCCCACAAATTGAACGATATAGCTCATCATATCGAAACACAATTCGACGTTCTAGTCTACAACCAAATGGGCTGCGCGTTCTCTCCCTCATACCAGGCTTTATCGATAAGATCGTCGGCAAACCTTTTGAAAGGATAGCGCACTATTCCATCCTGGGGGACGAAGAGACCGTTCTTGTGGATGCTGGATTCCCTGCAAAACTCCCAGAGTTGACAGGATTTAGCATGATGGGTGCACGAAGACCCGTCTTTAACCGCACTATTGTTGAATATGCAGAATCATACGGCGTCAAAATCATCTGGGGTCATCAGTTAATCGCTCTAGAACAGGGCAAAGAAGAGGTCAAGGTTACTTTTGCGAACGGTGCAAGTGACACAGCAAGTTTCGTTATCGGATGCGATGGACTTCATAGCAGCACTCGTGTCTGTCTCTTTGGCCAGGAGCAGGTCAGCTTCACGGGCTTGACGCAGGTATGTCTTCCGTATATCTAAGTGCTACTCTAAGCCCACCCGTTTCACAGACTGGCGGCATCTCTCCTACACCTGAAGTGTTTGGGAAAGTTCCTACAATGAGGAACTTCTATGCAGATGGAGCGCATCTGATATGCTACCCAGTTACCGATACGCTCACCTCCTGGGCGTAAGTAAATCTCTGTGCGGGACAGCAGATGGCATGCTGACGTAGGACATATAGCATCACCCAGCGGGAGCCTGAGGCCAAAGAGACTTGGCGTTCTATGGATGAAATCCGCCAAAATGCATTCAAGAAGAGCCCCTTCTCTGAATGGGGTCTCGGTGCGGGCGAAATTGTACAGTCCGCGGATACAATCGTCAAAGTAGGTTCGATATTTTGTCCCTTTTATGCATGATTCTGAACTGCTCGTTCAAATAGTATGGCTTGTACGATCGTCCGGAACTTAAGACTTGGCATAAGGGGAGGGTGGTCTTACTAGGAGACGCTGCTCATCCTACTAGCCCTGTGAGTTTATCTGCTCGAAATAGATACGAATCGTACTTTTAACCTGTCTTCCTAATTTTCGCCAGCATCTCGGTCAAGGTGCAAACCAGGCCTTCGAAGATGTCTACCACTTGGTGCGTCTGCTTGTCCAACACAACCCCTCCGCTGCGGCTCCCTCGACTGCGCTCCTTTCGACCATTTTCGCCGGATATGAAAGCATCCGTATTGCACGCGCCTCAACGTTGGTGATGGGTGCACGAAAACAGGGTGAGACTCGCGTCGTACGTGGTATCGACGCCTGCAAGCAGAGAAACGATGCGCTGCGTGTAGCCTGGGAAGACGAAGACGCGGTTCTCGCAGCTTTCTTGGATACATACTCACACCCATTCACTGGGCAGAGCGAGATCTGATGTTGTAACGGCTGCGTACACCTACATGAGGAGCCAGGTATGATTTCTACATTGTGTTGTCCAATAAAATGACTACCTGTTTCTTGCCTTTCACTTCAAGCACTTAAAACATAGCTATATTTCTAGCAGCATATTTTCAAAACGCGACTAGATGTCTGAAAAGTGACCTGTGGAAACAAAAGTGTGGACTTGATATACACGAGACCATTCGTTCCACGAATAGTCTATAGTTTATTGGTGAATACCCGAGAAAAATATAGCTCCACTGTACCGTGCTATCTCTAAGGATTTACCTACCACTCCTCGGTTGTCTCCTCTTCTTTTCAGGCAGTTTCATGATCCGACGCGTCTCCTGCGTTAGGTGCTTCGCATCCTCGCTATAAACATGATTCAACATTGTGAGAAAGTGAGCGGCTGTAAGAGCTAGTTCATGATAACGAAATTGCATCACAATTTATTTATCCCGACCTTCAATACTTTTTCAGTACCCTTCGTGCTTGCTTTGTACTTTCTCTCCATTCTGTCTAACTTCATACACTTTCCACGTGGCTTGTAGTTTGTATTTTATGTATCCATTTATACGGTAGTGCGCTCATGACTTTTTATACCAGTTTCGACGCCAAGTTTCCTCTATGATTGTTTTGATCTCGTATTCCTCCCGCAGAATCATCCGAAATCCGACTTGAATATGTGGAATTTACTTTATATATATTCGGCTCCTTACGAATAACCAATGTGGCTGCACTGCCGTAGCTCGCGAGCGGACGCCGGGTGCCAGAACGGCATATGCAGAATCCTAGGTTTGATGAAAGCACAGAGAACGTTCAGCGGATGGACCAGGAGAGTACACAATGACGTCACGCGTTGATCGATCAGTCAGGTGAGCTTAGAAATACGGAAGAATTGAGTGTAATCCACGTGATTAATGCAGCGTAAGGCCCCTAGTTGTAACTTCCTTGTTGTGCGTCCTCAATGCCCAGGATCTCAACGTTCAATGACCATCATGATATTCTCTAGAGTCTTACGCGCGGACGTGCTTATTCTGTATCATAAAAAGAGGTTAAATACAATATTTGCCTCTCAACTTCAGCCATTCTTACCAAGCTGGTGTATGTAGCTCTCTGCGTTGTTGGATTTATCGATTTGGAGTAGCAGCTTCATTGGTCACATAATATACCCTCAGCAGATACTCAAAAGTAGCATTCTGAACATGAGGAGAAAAGCCATTGTAGTGGGTCAACCGGGACATTGGTATTTGCCTCCGTGGTCAGCTCCGTCACGTCTCATTGCTCATTCATCCCTTCATCTAGATGTTGTTTTTGTATTCAACAATGCTATTAGCATCGAGTGAAATTGATGTTATTTTACTCCTGACAGAGTCTGATCGATACAGAAACTGGCTAGACGCCTTCGTTTGCACGGGATGATGTGAGGAGTCTTCTTTTTACGTGTCTTTTCCACATGCCTCACCTCATGCCTTCAGCATTGTCAGTCATCTTTTGGTGACTACTTTCGTGAACCTTTTATATACTCCATTTACAATTCGTTATCGCAGCTCTACCTTACAACGCCTCTGCAATATGGAACCAGGAAAGAACAAGAAAAAGGGCAAGAAGTCTCAGCTACGTTCAGCATTGGAACCTGCTCCATCCCCTACTACTATCTCTGAAATCTATGGGATGACTCTTACAACTGATTCCCCAGTTCCTCGCAAAGCTTCTAGAGAGGAGATTTTTCACGCCATTCTCAGATCAGGCACCGTAAATGGATCACTCTACGACACACAGATCTATGCCTATTCCAGACGTGCAACGTCAGGACTTGTTGACAAGCCTCGTACAACTTTCGCCAACAGTATCGCATTGAGGAGTATCTCTGATTATTTCAACATCTGTATGTATCACTTGGACTATACCACTAGACAAGGCATAAATTTACACGCTCTCAGTACTATCAGGCGAATTTGCCGAAGGGCGTGCCACTGGTTCCAGTCCATTGACACGCACGTCTACCGACGAATACGACTACGATTCTGATAGTGATCTTGAAGACGGTGGAGATGAGGACGAAAGTGAAGACATTCCTTCGGGCAGCACTTCTGGTATCACAACGATTGTCAAAGCCGATGAAACTGGTGAGGGTAGCAAAGACGGAGATGATGGGATCGAACATGATCTACTGCAAAAGGTAAAGCTTTACCTTGTGCCGCATATAAAAACTGAAGACGATGTGAACAGGGAGCGGAATTGTCACTTCCGATTTCAGAGCACGATAGTCACATAAGGAGGTCTGTATTCATCGAGAATGTGGCGTTCAATACGTAAGTCTACTTCTAGCAATTTTCAAAAATCTACTGACCTCGCGAGTATTTTCAGCCTTCAAGCCTTTATATTTTATGTGTTTACCGGCAAGATAGAATTTGCCCCTTTAAAATCTCAACCCATCAGTATTCGTAAGGAGAAATACAGCATTCGTAGAAAGCCCTATCAGTCACCGTTCTGCTCTCCGAAGTCGATCTATCGACTTGCTGATATGGTGTGCCTATCCACATCCTTCGTCGTGACTTCTGTATTGAGGTCAATTTGCCAGTATGGGATCCATGATTTGCAGACTTTGGCTCTGAATGATATCAAGTCTAAGCTCTCACCAGAGAACATCATGATCGAGTTGTCATCGTCTCTTACACCAATGTTAGTAATTTTGATCTTGGGTTTTCTGTAAACTGACCTATGGTCTCTTTTGAAGATACCCGGAGGTCCAGAAGATGGAAGTAGATTTTCTACTTGAAAAAGGACTCACTCCCAGTGTCATAGCCGCCATGCCGACGTGGATAGGAAAAGTCGCCACTGGATCGCTTGGGCCTCAGGGTGGCGATACGCTAGCGTTATTATTCCAAAAGATGATGGAGAATCGGCAGCAAACGCCTAGGCAGTGTCCGAACTGCGACTCGACTACAGGAGTGAGATGCCGCAATTGTAGTTATAACTATCCGGCAAGTACCTAGGTAAGGAGCGAATTTAATCCAAACGTGTCAGACGGCGTACTAACCTGAAGATAGAAGATAGGTCTGCGAAGTTCTTGGATGATAATAATTGGTTGCATGTCGTGATTGTTCCGTGATGCTGGCTCATACATCTGAATTGACCTCGTAGTGGAGAGTTAAGTCCTCATGTATTTCTATGTAGAGATCGAATATAAGCGTGTCGTCGGCTATTCTGATCGATGGATCTGACTCGTCTAGCTTGTTTGTCGTAAGAGGCCCTCTATATTCACCAAGTTATAGGACGACTGCTCGTTTCATTCATTAAGCGCCCAAGATCGCGCCGCGGCCGTAGCTGCGGCCTTCATATGCAGACCGCTGAGTAACTGTCGTTGATCATTACTACATAAACATAAACATCTGTTCTCAGTTTTACAGAAGTTTTCTCATCGTATATTCTGGTATAGGTTTACTCGATTGTATTTGATCTCTAAATCGTTGACCAATTCAAAACAAGGTGAATGCTCTTCCACATCGACATGCAGTTCCATTAATCAGAAAATACTGGCACTTACACGAGCCACGGGTTGATCCTGTCTAGGTCCCGCTGTTGTGAGATTGCGCGCCACACAATTTCATCAAGCTAATTTGGATAGTCTAGTCTGTTTCTCAGTGCCACGTCGTTTCGATAGAAGGTATCAAGCAGACGTGACGCGCCTGCCACAAACATTTACTGTCCGCAAACGCAATTATCTGTTCCGAAAATCTGTGTAATAACATCCATACAGGTTCCAGTCCATTTATGGCGAAATCTCTTTCTTAGAATTCGATACAAAAAGTCTAGACATGAGCGAGATGATCAACCAGGCGCCGGAAAGCAGTGTGGCCCCCAACCTGTTATCCGTCGTTCAACAATTCACATTACAAGAAGCAGAAATTTCAGCTCAGACCTCTGTTCATCCATTCGCGTCCATGCCCGATAACCCCTCCGCCATACTCCACGGGATCATAGAGGCGACAAGTCAAATGTCTCATTCACTAGAAGCTCATTTATCGCTACCCTTCACGAACCAGAAACTCCTTTCCCTGTACAGGCAACATGCTGCGATAGCTCGCACACTACACTTGGTTAGAATATGCTATCTCTTTCGAGACTGAAGACTTACTCCTCTCCAGTCCGAGAGCAATGTTCGACAGACACTTGAGTCCCTACGTAAACGAAAGGGCATCACATATGGTGAAAACATACCGCTCGATTGCACCACCATTCTCGATTGGTGCGTGTCTCGGCTTGAGGCATGGGGGACATCTGCCGGGATGGAGGCATTCAAGGAAGAAGAGCGTGAAGGCCGAATGACGATCGTCCTAGGTGGAAAGGTGCTGGTCATAGATATTGACCTCCTGGTGGACCGAAGAAATTTTGAGAGGCCCATAGTCTCTGTCGCAAATCTGAAAACTTCTTATGCCATTCCGAACGGTGCCGCAACATCGACCACCCAAGGATCCCTCTCCTTAGATGGTTTCCTAGCAGACAGGCTTAGAGCTTTCCTGACAGAAGTTCAGAAGGATGCAGAACAACAGGACAGCCTACATGCTGCTCGATTGGCCAATTTGGTTGCGGAAGATCTAGCATACTTGATGCGCCTCGATCAGCTAGCACTGAGCGAGGGTGATGGCGGCCTGCGTTGGTTCAGTGAAATTGATACCATTGCTCTTGAGACTGAACGTTTTGCCAAAAGTGAAGCTGAGGCTATCGCAGCGTACGTCGGTTCAATGCTTCGTGATTATGTGCTTACTCCTTAATTAAAGTGAAAGCGCCAACTCTGTCACTCATGTTCCTCTAGACATTTTCCTCACTCGCGCACATGCCCTTCCGCTCCCTTATCTTACGACTGCGTCTATATCGTTCTTAACGTACGTGTCTCCGTTAGCTTACCTTTCTCTCCTACGCGGTTCTCCCCCCTTTTCGGGGTCAAAATCAAGCCTCCCAAAGTTAGACCTCTCGTTCGACCATCTACGATCCACGCTTGCTTCACATCCTCGACCTCTCGGCGTCACCGTTACGACGCTCATACTCATCTCGAGCAATGCGCCCGCTCCAGTAGAAGACCCTGTGGATATAGCCGATCTGGGATCACGGCCTACTTTTACATTGGTACCATCTGGGGCTCAGCTCAATCATATTTTGCCGACAGCGACTGGCGTCGGTACATCTCATTCTTGGAATCTGGATTTCACCGATGGTGGCAAGTACCGCGGGATCGTGATGACCCAATCCAGAATGCGAGAAATCGAACTTGTTGTAAATCCCCTGAGCGGGATGGCGAACATGGGCCAAATATCTCCAATGATGTCCCTTGGGTCAGGAAGTTGGGTTGATCTCTTGGTAGGCAATTTGTGGCTAGTTCCTGTCCCAGGCTTACGTGAATTCACGTAATAAGATTAATCCCGAAAATCCAATCACACCTGAACGATATACATGTCTTCATGTCAGTGCCAGAAGGCTGGCTTTTATGACTGCGAAATTCATGCCTGATCACATTGATACTAGTCGTCCCCAATGGGTCTCCATCCACCCCTTCAACTGAGACTGACGTCGCCAGAGGAGCCCGGTTTTATCCTGGAGCGAGTTCCTGTGCGAAGCATTAGAGAAGTCTGGCGAATCCTAGAGGTATTCTTACCATTAAGCTACTGGTAAGCGTTATACTAATTTCTACGTAGGTTGTAAGAGAACAATGTTGGCTAAACGAAGTGCTTTGCGGACATCAATGGGTACCGGAAGGTCTGGGTGCCGACGAAAGAGACGAAGAGCCAGATGCAGAAGTTACGACCGAGGACCTTCAAGCCGTTCTTAATGGTGCGTTTAGCATGCTGCAGATTACATTCCGCGGCTGACAAATTCTGGACAGGTACCCTCGCACCACGAAGAATTCCAGTGAATATCTATTTTCCCTCGGTTCCGGCGGTGAATACTCTCTTCGATACGACAGACGAGGGCAATATGTCTTTCTCCCACTCACCACAAACACGACGAGCAAAAATATTAATGTCGTCCCCAGAGCGGCCGCCGATTCCCGGCCTTGTGGAGATATCTATCACGTTCGATCCAAGCCGACCGAGGGGCATCGCATTGGACATTAATGGGGCTATGGGAGCCGACTTAAACATTGACGTGCTGGAAGAGGTCGGCAGGAGGGGAGGTTTGATGAGCTTGCCGGGGAGAATCTGGGCAAAATCACACGGCACAATCTGATGTGTGACCACACTAATTTCTGCGCAACCTTTGTCCTGGTACCAGATCACGATTGATGTGTATATAAAACAAAAGAAATTCGGTATCTATGTTTACAAGGCATCCTATGGTACGTGACATTGGTACAGATATTCAATTCAAACACACATTATAAGATCTTCCGTCTGGACTATTCAGTAATCATCATCATCTCCAAGTTCATTAGGATTGAATGTGGTCCAAGAAGGGACAGAAGAACTAGATTGTGGCTGGCTGAACAATGCGTGGTAGCTCGACCGGAACAAAGGTGGGGCGTTGTTACCCCGAATTGACTGGGTACGTCGCGTGAGGGCTATGGAGTCGGGCTTAGCGTTTGATGTGGGGCTCTTGAAACCCTTACTCGTGCTGCTTTGCCCAGGTTGAGTAGTAGTTTCCATCTTGGAATTGAGCAAAGTCTTGAGAACTTCCCCTGCATATGGAAATTCGCCCTGTACAAGCCTGTCCATGACAGTTGAAAGCGTGTCTTCGACCTCCGCATAATGCGAGCGTAGGTAGGCTATCTCTAATTCCCGCACTTTCTCATATCTGTTGATGCATTGGTGAGGACATGCGTCCAAAAATAGATGCATCAGAGTAGCGAGTCAATTACCTTGACGTGAATTTTGAAAAAACCTCTCGCACGATATTTTTTGTAGAAAGTTGTAATCGAATTGCATCGAAAGCGAGCGTCTGTAGCTCTGTTATACCATACTGTTGAATATGAGTGAATTAGATAAAAGTATGAATGTCTCAGGACTCAAGAAACACCTTTTCTGCCAACCGGTACATTGACTTCGGGGAAGAAGGCGGAACAGCTTCTGGGTCGCCCAATGCCCGTATCAAGGCCTCTACCCTGGTATGTTCATCCTCCGACTTCAGCGGCAAAAAGTTGACCTTGCTAAAATACAAGTAAAAGATGAAGGCACGCCATCTAATAGAATTTAGGTTATAAAATGAATGTAGTCGCAAGGAAGACTGACGTATGGTATGCTGCATCCTTGATTATGATCTGTTGACAGGTCCCACCCAGAGGGTGATCGGAAAATTCGGAAACTTGAGGTCTTCCTGAGGGTTTCTTGTCCTTCCCGTCTACTTTGATTATTAGTGAACGGGAAGGGGGCTAGTGAGATCTTATCTACTGACCCGAATGCGAAGTCAACATTGCCACATCCTCGATAAAATCAGATGGCTCCTCGTCCTCCAAATCACTATCTGATTCATAATCATACTCATCTGTGTACGGAGAGACATCTTCTGGGAAGGGCGCATTCAACGGCACTCTACCGGCGTTGGACTCGGCAAAGCCACTCGATAGTACTATGCAGATCAAGATGTGTCACGGCAAATGACAAAAGTTTTCGAGAACCCACGTTTCTCAAAGTAATCGGTCTTCTTGAGCACAGAACTGATAGCGAGGACATGCCGCGGCTTGTCAATCCGGACGACACCTGAGTCGTCCATATACGATCTTCGCGAGAACACATAGAACTTGATGTCAAGAAACGTAGGAGAGTGTAATGATTCTTTCAGTGCACGTTCCACCAATGTTAGCGACGTAACAGGTTGGCTACTGTTTGTTGACATGTCAACAGCTAGTGGGTCAGTGCACGGGTGCCAAGTGAGCCACTGAGATGCACAAATATTGGTTGTGGGATACGAACAAGGTCTTGGGCGGAAATCCTGCGTTTGCAATGGAACCCTCCACATGACGTTGACTTACAAATGCTAGCGCGGCAAGGCTACCACGTTGCGAAGCTCTCAGGCCGGTTCCTAAACAGAACCAAGACAGAACACAATCGTGTGCGGGTACTATAAACGCGTAGAGACAATGACTCTTCCTGGACAAGTGCGTCTGCAGCTATATAGACAATTCCGTTGCGTCTCGCGGCAAAGTGTGGGCAAGATGGTGGCGTGGAAGTAGGTTACAGAGAGGCTAGAGCTGCTGTGGCATCAACTTGATTGTTCCAACCACACAACCGCATTTGGACAGTGATCGACCACGTGTGCCGAAATCCTGTGATTGGCCCACGCCTCTCAGTCCTGGGTCGAAGCCGTATAGAACTATGGTGACCCAAGCTAGCATATGCATTGCGAATTGATTGGGGAAATAGAAAAACCTCATCCGTGATTTAATGTGAAGTAAGCGCGAGACATAAGCAAATCGTGTCGAAGAGATGGCTGGGTACGAGCCGTAAAACCGGGCTTGATACATTTACGGTGCTCCACCATATTGAACACAGCCGCAGCTTGGCATCACCACATACTAGAACTAGGTCCGCATTATTTACATTCAACATGCAGCGCCTTTCAATGGGGTGTAACATCCGAACAGCAAATGACCATTGTTACAGCCCCGATGCCAACTAGCGACGAAGAAGTCCTCGAAAAAGTCCAGTGAAGACCAGATGATCACCCCACATGCTGAGACCCAAGTCTTACACGTTGGAGTCATAGCGCCGCGGGTGGAGGTGGCTGTTCGTGCGGACAGTGACAGGGTATTATAGTCTCCCTCAATGAGCGGCGAAGCACGACGAACGCAGCGGGTTTGGAAGAAGACATCATAGACAATTACAGTATTCTACGTTTGAGAGTGCACCCAGGCAACAACTAGGAGACATATGAAAGCCCTATGAAGGAATGGTTGGATAAGTGGCGTCGACTTCACTCTGATGTGGGGCCCCGCAAATGCACCCCGCAGCATTTAGCATTAGTAATTTAGAACATCAATCAGAACATTGCAACCGAGCGCTTCCACAAGTGATCGGAGCTTCAGTTACTTTGTCCAGTCTCCATGAACCACAATGTGGAGTCCCCAGTCTCGGGATGGAGACTACTCCTGACATGCGTGTGGTCATGACTCTGGACAGTACATACGTGTCTTAGGATTGCAACATGGCCCAAAACGGGGCCCCAGGACAGCATCAAATGTCATCAGTCCAGATTTGCTAGCTGTACCCCTCACAAGTCCGATGTGTTTGCCAGTGTGATATCCTCACATGGTGACCAACTCAGTCACCTGTGGGGTACATACACACGCACTCTTTTAGGCATGGCTCTTCCGCAGCCTGCAGGCAAACCTGAGATCACCTCAAGGCCCTCGCGCACACGCGTCATGGCTTATCGAGCAAGCGGTTGCGGAATCAGCGTTGCAAGGCGACAGCCTGAGACACTACACTGCTGCACCGGTAATGTTTCTCGCCGACGCGAGTGCGCCGTACCGGAGGGAATGCCCGTTGCGTTCGACTCGAGCCCGAGCCGCGGTATATTTATTGGTCCCGACGTTGTAGTGGAGCTCAGAAATATGAGCAGCAGAAGGCTAGACGCATCGATATCAGTGGCGATGACCAGGCGTTGCCTAGGCTCTGCATATACGCGGTTAAAGTAATCAAGATCAAGCTGTACTCAAGCTGTACTTGAATGTTCGAGAGGCTGTCGCGGGCGGACCCTAGATTTTGGGTCTCGGAGTTTGTCCGGCTCTCGAGGAATTCAATCGGCGACAATATGATCCGGGCCTGGACCGCCGTAAGAGCGCTCTCAGATAATTCGCAGCAATTCGACCAGGTATTTCTTCACCGCATAGGGCCGTCTATTCTTCTCCCCTCCCTCTCCCTCCTTGCTCTTGCATGCTGAAGCTTCAGGTCTCGGCTCCTTCCCCGGAGGCCTCTGCGGCAACAACTCCGACCCTTGCAGACCTCAGCAGGAATGCTTCCGTCATTTCTTCGTCTTCTAGCTCCAGTTCGACGTCCGACCTGACCGTGCAGACTCCAGTTCGGCCCCGCCCTCTGCGTACCTTTTCTTCACCACGCACAGCGGTGCGCTCGAGGAGTCCTCAATCTCCCACCACGCCCCGTGGTTCCCGACCTCCCGCGTATCTTGCCCGAGAGTTGGGTCTTGCCGAAAGCGCTGACGACGAACCATCCGAGCTTAGGCCTCCAACCTCTCGAGCACAATCCAAATCGCGAAACAGCTCCGTAAATGGACGTATCGGAATCACCGCTGACGATTTTGAGTTTGTGAGGACTTTGGGAGAGGGCTCATATTCTACGGTTTGTACCGCTTACCTCACATCTTTTCCCATTGTATTGGCGCTAACGTTACGTGTAAAGGTCATGTTGGCGAAACACAGAACAACGCAGCAGGAGTATGCTATCAAAATAATTGATAAGAATCATCTCCGACGCTTCGAAAAGCTCCCGACTGCCTTAGCCGAGAAAAACACATTGGTTAGGCTGGGTGCAGGACATCCAGGTATTGTTCGGCTGCATTGGGCTTTTCAGGATGAATGGAGTTTATGTGAGTGATTGACACTTGTCGTAAGAGGGCAGCATTTGACAGAGCCTAGATTTTGTGTTGGACCTGGCCAGGAACGGAGAGCTCCAGTCCCGAATATCGCGGATGGGTTCCCTCTCTACCATGTGTGCCCGATTTTATGCCGCACAAATAGTCGACGCTCTGGGATACATGCACTCAAAAGGCGTTATACATCGGTAATACGTCCTTCATCATATCCTGTGGTTTTACTAAAGTCATGTGCTTTGATTTACACAGTGACCTGAAGCCCGAGAACCTGCTACTGGATGACGCTTACCGGATCAAGATCACAGATTTTGGCACAGGCAAGATTCTGGATTCAGGAGGTCCGTCTCCGGCTTTCGCCGCGTCTTAATGCCCATAGTTGATTGGGTTTCAGCGGAGCGCACGAAGACTTTCGTAGGCACTGCACAATACGTATCTCCCGAATTACTAGAAGATAGCGAGACAAGTAAGAGGTATGTTTTTAACAATATGCCGGACGTCATACAGAGAATGATGACATCTATGACATAGCTCCGACTTCTGGGCTTTGGGTTGCATTATCTACCAAATGATTGCTGGACGCTTTGCATTCCAAGGACTGTCAGAATACCTCACTTGGCAAAAGATAAAGAAGCTCGAATATTCATTCCCGGACGGGTTTGACGAGCAGGCCAAAGATCTCATCGAAAGGCTTTTTGTGTGTCCTCTTATTGGATTTCTCTTATAGCCAAATAGTTAACATGAACGTAGGTCCGTGATCCTTTGCAGCGATTGGGAGCTGGAACCCCCGAAGATAATAATGATATGCAAGCACTTCGTGCACACCCTTTCTTCTCATCGATAAGTTGGAGCACTTTGTGGACAGATTCGGCACCGCCTCTCGAGCCTGGTTTGGTGAAGAAGGAGCAGAATCCAAACCAAAGCTCGATAAGTAGCAACTGGGACGATGTAGGTGCTACCTGGGATAACCTTGTAGGAGAAAATGAAGATTTGGATGACGACATCAGCTGGGCATCTGACGGGGAGGGTGCATATACCCTGGGGTCAGCAGCAGCAAAGTCTCCGAGTGGCTACATATACACAGAGAGCGTTGGACCCATGGGCGAGCGGCGCCCTTACTCCTTCCCGAATCCACCAACTTCTAGCCCTGTCGATGCGAGAGCGACACTTCCTGACAGTAATCTGGTTGAAGTCGTTAAACCGTCGGCAGACACCATAGATGAGCCACCGGCAGGGCTCGTTAGCGCACATACCAATGGTGGGCACCCCCCAAATGATACTGACGATCATGCTATGCCCATTGATGTGCCGAAGGGGTCAGCTGCGGAAACGCGTTCTGTAGGCTCTGCCACGAGCTCGTCAGATGGGAGTCCAGTTGATCAGGCCGGCGCAGCAATGGAGGAAGCCTCCTCGCGAGGACGAAATCGTGCCCAAACCCCAATACTGGGTAACAGCATTTCCTTTGAATATGATTTGTGAGTGTACCGATCGGCATGACTGTACTATATCTGAATGATCTTTCTTCCAGGACTCCTCTACTCATACCTGGCGAGAGTGTTGTCTTTAATACACATGTAGAGGCGAGTGGACCCAAGCGCCGAGCGAGCCGATTATTGGCTATGGCGGTTGCTCCCAAAAAAATAAAAACGCGCGAATTAGTTCTTACTACACACCGACTAATGTGTCTCAAGTGTAAACCTGGGCGTCCAATTCAAATCAAGACGGAGATTTTCACAAAGTTCTCGGAGAAGGACAAGGACGGGCGCCATCGTATTACAGGTGTCGAGCCCAAGGGGGAGCGCGAGTTTGTAGTGATGACGGTATGTGTCGAACATCCTTGATTTACATTCTTACTCATTTCTGCTGTGTCAAGGCCGCGAAATCGCATTGCTTCTTAACCGGTGGATCGTCAATAGCAAGTACATGGATTAGAAAAATCCGCGAGATTTTGGAGACACAAGTGTCTGCAGGCAGTGTACGCACGGACTCTCGAACACGGACCTAACTGTCATGACCTGACTGTCATATTCTTATTGTATTGGTGAGCTTGTAGGTCCACCTGTTGCCTTTTTTTGCTTGGGATGGGACGTTGGACACGGCCTATATGCATCATATTTATATAATTCTTATCATTAGTGCCTATATGTATTCGTAGCATACGCATCTTGGAGCGTACAATCTGTTCTTTCGCATTTGCTTTTCAGGCATTGCCGGTCATTAAAATAAATTCCCGGACGTAGGTCGCAGAAGATCCGTGGTATATCACCTGTGAATACTTTTTCATATACGCAATCATCCTTCACAATGGCTATTGCTGGATTTAGCCTGGCGGAAGCATGCTAGCATCTACACCAGCACCATCTTCCGCGTCATCGCTCTCGTCCGGTGTTCGGGCAATTGGCGTGCGGGGCATCACCATCAGACCTGACAAAGTGATGAGCACGAGTAGCTCCAGCAGTGAGGGTTCGAGCATACCGGTGCGAGCGGCCTCTAGGACACCGAACGGCTTTAGTAGCGCAAGGAATGCCTCCACCCTCTTAGTCTTGCCGCACAGCTCTACAATCACACTATTCTCGCTAACGTCAACAATCTTGCCTCCGAATTGTGTCGTGAGTGTGGACACTGCGCTGAGGTTGCCGCTCCGCAGGTGTAGCGCCTGTGTTGGTGTCAATGGCGGAGGAGCATGCGTCTCACTCTCGGGATGAGCACCGCGTTCAAAGTTCTGTGCAAGCGCCATCTCGCGCTCGAGTTTCGTCGCGTCTTGTGGTGCGCTGGGAAGTTCCTCGCTAGGGGTTGCCGTACTCCGGCGAGGCTCATGAGAAGGCCCACCAAGGAGCTGGTCTTCAATATACTCTGGGCCAAGGACAGACACCTTCACAAGGAGAAGCTCGCGCTCGATGCAGTGCGTATCCGTATAGTCAAGCACCGCCCATACTGGGACCTATGATCCAGAGTGAATGTGGTGAACAATACGCGAGGGAAAATAGCACGTACGAGATCTTCCAGCTGTCTGCGAGCCTGCTCAACCACTCCATCCTGTCCTCTCAAGACAACGCACATGCGACTCAAATCACGGATTTCGGTGCGACAGACGACAAGTGAGTCGATGTTGAAACCTCGTCCGGCTAAGATACCTGAGACGCGAGATAACACTCCTGGCTCGTTCTGGACAAGGCAGTTCAGGACATGCCTGCGTCACACTCCGGTCAGTCAAAATCTCGGGGCCAAAGCAAGTGTATTGACATACTTTTTGAAGGGCTGCAGACTGGGGGGAGGAGTGTTGTAGAGGATATTAGTCACCGCTTCCTCTGCAGACCGCGAGCGAAGGTCCATAGTAGGCAAAGGGGGAGGACGATGCTGCAGCGTCGTCCTCCTCTTGTAATCCAGAGCAGAAGTGGAGTCATCAATGGAAGGAGGTGGTTTCGGTGGTGTTGAATCTCCCGAGTCTGGCGCACGTCTGTACAATGAAGACGACAGATAGCGCGGCTGGAGGCCCCTGGCTATTGCAGCCCTCCGCTGTGCGGCACGAGCAATCATGCTCGCCATTTCAGCCTAGGAGAAAATTCGGTTTTGGCAAGAATAGCCTCTACTTTAGCAGACACTGAGACAGCAGTGACTCGAGCCAATGTGCACGGTCACGTGTAATCCATGTTCGCGACGCGACGCGTTCATCCATATTGAGCCCGATACCGCCTCAGTGTCTCCCGTTGACAAACTTCTTTATAGAGACCTTCACACTTCTTATTGGAATTTAAGAAGACGTTATCAGAGGCCCACAAGCACTATTCAACGTAAATCAGACCATGCGCTACTGCGAAGTCATATTATAGAAGGCGAGTCGCTAGGCAGTGCATAGTAACTTTGAACATCCCTGAGGGGTCCGGTATGGAAAATAAAGGGATCCAAAGCAAGTACATAGACCGCCTACACATTCGCGCTCCAAACCGCATAAATCGGAAGTCGAATAACGGTATTCCTCACGTAGATTCTAAAAGAAGCAGAGCGCCTTGTCAGTGAGAGCGTATTTAGTCAACGTCCTCGAGGAATGCTTTGTCATGGCCCGCGGCTGGAACATTGTGAGCTAGAAACCCGAATGCTGTCCTCGGAGCATAGGGATCAGAAAAGTTACGAGCAGAACATACTCGAATCAGATGAAAGTGTGCCGAAATACTTCGGAGAGAATATGGAATATGGTGAGATCACGTTTAAGGTGTAGTCAGACGCCTGTACACATCCTAGACTCTCGTCCAAAATGGCGAAGCGTACCTAGGTAAAGTTCAAGAAAAGCATTAGGCCGAGGGAGTGTTGTACCCGTCACACAAGAGCTTCAGCTTTCCTGCCGAACATTTGTATGCGGGCTGACTAACGGATGAGTGATGATGAACAATGGGGACATTGAGCCAGTTTCACCGCCTGATGACCAAATTTAATGGCTTTGCATGCCAGCGCGGCGAACCCTCGTTGTTCTGCGCCTCCAAAGTTGAGGGGCAAATACATTCAATAAATATCACGAAGCAATTACCGAAAGTGACTCGATATATGAAGCAGAAACGATGTACCTCGAATGCGCTACGACAATTTCTTCGACGCATTTTTCAGCACGGCTCTGGCCAATTGCACGTACTCCCCAGCTTCATCAATATCCTTGCCCTCAGCCTCTGACACTTTCTCCCAATGCGTCAAATCACTCTCAACTAGCGTCCATGCTTCCTCCTCTGTGTGCTCGTTGACCCACCGGACATACTCTGCCTCGGCCCACCCGTGAAGGGAGTGAGGGAGAGGGATTGGAGAGCGAACGAGAATGTGGTGCAAAACGATGAGTGGAGGGAGATTTGTTGTATGCGTAGACGAAGCAAGCATGCTATTTTCCAAGAAAAGTAATTGCCTGTGAAAGACGACGAAAAAGCTGTCAGTGTCATGAGAATGCACAGTTTGCATAGAGTATGTACCTCATCGCTCTAAGTGCGCGATAATCGTCGCCTACGCCCTCCCAATCTGCACGCCGTTTCCCTGATTGTGCCTTGTCGGTCATGAACGCACTCAGGCCAAACTCGAGCTCAGTCATGTCACTCGTAAGCTGCAGCTTCCCACTCTCTCCCAATGGTCTAGCGATTGAGGCATGCAAAACGAATGTTTTGATTACGTATCTCACAATTGCAACGATCCTGTTTCCAATCGTAATGAAGTGTATCAAATTCAGGATATCCAGTCGCAGAGATGCAAGAACTAACCATTGTCGACTGGCATCGGGAGCATGGAATTGAACAAAGATTTCATTCTTGATGAAGGACAGTTTCTCAACTACATCTTTCATGTAGAGACTTGGCCCACCGCCCATTGCTGACATAGGGTCAGCGGCGTCACTGAAATCGAGCCTGTGCAGCCTTGCTAGAATAGCTCCAAGCTCACGTCGAACAGCGGCGAGTAGAGGATCGACTATGCGCTCGAAGGCACGGTTCATATTCTGAGAAGTCATTGTTATAACAAGAAGGGTGCTGAATCAATTTGGAGATTGAAAATGATGTATAACATCACACGTACCACGATGCTAGGCTTGATATACGACATAACCCCTTCCGGATACTCGTCTTGTAGTTTCTCAAGGCGAGATGAGCAATGATAGAGGCAGGTTGCCAACTGGCCATTCAGCACTTGTGCTGGCGTAGCTGATGGTCCCAAGAGGGACGTTGCTGTACGTTCCCGTACGATCTAGTGACGCAAAACACCTAAATCGGCGAACGACTTGTAACTAAGAAGAAAACATACCATTCCATCGGCTCTCGATAGCAACATTTCAAGGCTGGATGCGACATGCTGAGCAACAGAACGTACAAGTAAAGGATCAAATTTTGCGGAGTCAAGCTCGTTTGCTACAGCGCGCGCGATGTTCATGCCTTCGGTCATGCCTGGGGGTGCGCGTGTCCCTCCAGCAAATGCTTGCCCCACAGTTTCATTTAATCGGTTTGCACTCCGCGATAGATAGAGAGCCTCAAAGTTTGACAGCGCTTTGAGCACAACCACCGTCTCCGGACTGGGTTTATCACCCATGGTCATGTCAATGATCAACAGGAAAACCTGCTTGGAGAAAGAAAAGGCATACCTCTGCTGATTCTGCGTATAGACAGTATCGGTCTGCACAGCAATTTTAGCGAAGAACGAATGAAAAAGACGAAGAAGCTTGGGATATCCTGAGCTTAACGTCTGCTGGAGGAACGATGACCCTACGATAAGCGGGTAAGAATATTCGCATCGTGATATATGTATTCGGAAAAACCTTTCGCGGAGTCCCGAGCATGTTGTTCCAAGGACCTCCCGAGCGCGGCCCAGAAAATTGCGCTTGGTTTGTTGTCAAGCATCTAGTAAGACAATGTCAATGGAAACAACCCATGACGTTTACACCGAGTTGCAGACCTTCATGGCCTCGTCCAGAAACACAACTTGCGTGACAGTATCTCGTTTGAGCTTGAGAACACTTTCGAGTGCATATACCTGACGATGCGTACGTGAGCCAACAAGGTAGCAGTTGCACAAGACGCGACACACCTTGATACAACAGCCTGTCATTTCTTCAATGAGTTTCTCAAGGCTAGTCCACAGAGCTGCCGCATACTGCGGGGCGGTAACATTCGTCGGTTCCGTTCGTACTCGCGATTTGTACATCAGTCCCTGAGATACGCTACTGGGTTCTGGAATGAAACATGAATCAACTATAGATTACATAACAACGCAGGACCAAAAGTATCTTGACCTTTTGCAAGCACCGCTTTCGAAATGCGCGAAATGTCAAACGCATACCGAATGCGTCCTTCAACTGCCTCAACAAAGTCTGCTACAACTTCCTGAACCAGGACCGGAAGAATCCTAAGATTGTGGGCAGTTTGGAGTGAAGATGCGAGAAGGGCATGATTCTAGTTGATCGGTCTCAACAAAGACCGAGGATGAACAGCAGTAACGAGTACGAACAAGATCCGATAAACCTGTCAAGACCATGGTCTCCATGTCGCTGGTTATACGCGCCCGAGCAGAAGTGACGAATGGCAAGTGCGCCGCTACCGCTTTGATAGAATTCAGAGGTACTCGATTTTCCGGGACATCGTCATCGCCGGTTAGTGACGAGGTAGAATCATCCAATAATGCAGCTTTGGAAAAACGTAGAGTATCAGTAGAGTGGCAGACCGCGCTCTCATCAGGACAAACTCAGTTCAGCCACCGTCAGCGCAGCTTTTGAAATGATGCGCTCCTTCTCATCCTCGTTTTCAGTGATGCTTAAGATTTCATCTGTGCTATTGGGAGGATTCGACGAGTCTTTGGCTTCCGCTTTTGTCTTGTTGATATCACTATCAGTATTGTCACCTTTGCTCATCTCAGCCAGCTGGAGTTCAAGCCTTCGTGTCAGTATGACAAAGCGAGACGTCCGGCGCAGAATGTCGGAAGCTTGCTGTATGCGCTCTAATTTTGTCACATTGCTCTGGAGAGACTGGTAGGGAACACGAATTTTGAGACGGAGCCTGGCGCAATAACATCTCGAATGAGAAATCGCGAAATCTGATAACAATGCTCACTTCTCTAGAGACGAATCAAGCTCATTAAGCCCTGTCCGGACGGATGAAAGAGAGCCCTCCAGATCTGTGACACTTGCAGCCTGTACTAACAGTTCTTCATGGTGTGCTGTGACCTACTTGATCATGAGCTCCATGCTGGAAACAAAAGGGCACGGTGCGACAGACCACGCTCTTCAGCTGCTTATCCACATCATCTATACTGAAGTTGAGCTTAGTGATTGCGACGGAGACGTCCTCATTGGCAGACTCGAAGCTGGCGCTCTTTACTGGCTTCGCCTTACCCGCTTGGGGTGGGTACGGCTCTCCCGCGAGGATAGCGTTGACATAATCGTTTGGATCGAATTCAGGGTTAGCAAAAACAGCATAATCTGCTTGCTAGTAAGCCATGAGTTGCGTCCGTTATTCCAGAGCCAAACCAACCGACCCGACATCCCAACGACTCAGCAGCACATAAGTATCACCAAAAAAAGGCTAGACAAGCTGAACGGTCTTCAAACAGTTTGGCCAGCACAACCGCACGACTCGGGCGTGAACGTCTAGCAATGAGCCGTGAAAGAAATCAGCTAGATGGTTGGGTAATTGTGAGGACGTCTCTTCTCGAGAAGAGACAACGCGACGAGCGCTCCGTGACGCGCTATCACGTGATATACTGCCGAACCGCGACTCGACTCAAAGTTAGACAACGATGCTACTTACCAAGTTAAGGCTTACACAATCTGGATGCCCGCCTTCTTCATGATTCAGCACAATTAGTCTGCTATAGGTGGCGACCGACGAATCCGACAGCCCCGGACATTCTGCGTCGGAGCTCATCCGAAATTGATGACGGGTCTTAACATGTGTCGGTCACGATTCTCTTGAATGAGTCGGTGAGTGGCTCCTGCTAGCCTAAGCTGTGCTTGAACGCGCGTATACATGGAGCGCGTGATATCGAGCCTGTTTAAAAGACGGTTCCCTTCGAAGGTATGTACTTCATTATTCATCCCCGCCATCTCGCTGACCTACCCGAGACATATCTGTCCAGCGACAACTTGCGTAAACTGATCGTAACGAATACTTCTACGCCTGAACTCGAAGTATCCTAGTAACATGTCGTACGCTTATTATCAATCAGCGGCTCCAGGATCATGGGGAACATCCGATGTGAGTATTTATTTTCATTTGTCCAAGCGAAGAGTCTCATCCGGAGTAGTTTCGCTTCATGGCACCTCCAGCACCGGTATATCAGCCCCAAGCAAATTGTGATAACTCAGTCTCTTCTTCTGCATCAGTCATGACCTAAATATGTGATCTAGGGAGCGGGGTGGACTTCTACCGAGCGCATGGAATCCACTATGACCCGTGAGTGCTTTTGCATCCCGTTGTAAAGTGCGATTCCTGGCCTGTGCTTACTACATTAGTGTGTTCTACCAGTCGATCATGGGCCGCATGGCGGTCGCCGTGAGTGTAGGTTACCATGAAGCCAGACATTGGCATCGGCGTATATATGGTGGACAGGTACACTCTGGTCTCCTCGTTGAAATTATATTATTCTAACGAGCACTTTAGGTAAACCTAACACAAGTGCTTCCCGGTGATATCGGCTGTGCCGCTGCATACGAGGCATATCGCTTTTGGAAATATCACCATCCTTTGTACGAGCCCTTGGTAGACCGCGAGAGACAAAGGGAGGCCATAATGGGCATGGCTATCGGGGAAGGTACGCGTTCAACGTTCCATCAGATAAACATAATTCCGACCCTTAGTCCTAGCACAACATCTGTGGCAGCATACTGGCCGCGTATATGACAACATTGGACTCAGGGAAGCATGCGAATCAGCTGCCGCGACTGCATCACGGATTGCAAACCGAGTACGTATTATTGTCCAGGCGCACTCGCTGAATACCTTGGCATACATATCTTAATCTTCGTGCTCAGGTCCTTGGGTACGATGGTACGATTGCCCAAACGGGCCTTCCATCCTCTGCTTACGATCAGACAATCGCGTACGATGCCTACGGCAACACCACCTCCGCGCGGCCCTCTGCCTTGCGCCGCTGCTCATCGTATGGTTCAAACCTCTCAGCCTCAATCGGTAGCCCATACATCAACCCTGCATATGCGACTTCCTCACCCTATGGCGGTACAGCCTCCATCGTCGGCGCCTCCACACCGATTCCCAGCATGATGGGTAGTTACTCCGCAGGCGCGGCTCCTGGTGCATACATCACGGGCGTCTCAAGCCCAAGCTATGCTCCCGGCGGCGTCGGGAGTGCGTACTCTGGGGCAGCTGCGTACCAGACCGCCGCTACCGGCGGCGCGTATCAAGTAGCGCCACCAATGTACGCAGCGGGCGGGGTCGTGCCGCAGGCAGGTGCCACATACATGAGCGGAATGAATCCGGTTGGTTATGGGGCCGCGGGCATCGCAGGCTACGCTGCATATCCAGGACAGCAGACTGTTCCTCCAGGTTCGACGATCATCATCCGCCCGAGACGTCACCATCACCACCACCACCACCGATCGCGCAGCTTGAGTGTGGATAGATATTGAAAGCGCTGTGTGTTCCTCATGTTGGCCGCGCAGGCTGCGGATGGGTTTGAAATGATATGTAAGATTTATTATATTCTTGCTGGCTCTGTACAACATATGCTATACGTACTGGGACCCTAATCATTATCACATTGTCGTGTTAGTATACATATGCTAGGATTCTGCCATACACAATGCGAGGATACAATACACTTTTTTTTTGGGAGGAGTGGGACAAGGCTGTGCCCGAGCTAAGTCCAAACAAGAAAGGTTGTGATCCGATTTGACAAAATAGGATCTCGAAGCTTCAAAGGCTAGTTTGAATGTACTTTCATATTCTTCAAGTTTTCACAGAGCCCGAGATGACCGGGCTCGAAAACACAGCATGCCAGATGCATCATACTATCCCATTCCGGGCGCAAAGATCTGACCGGTGGTCGGGGCATTTGCACGGATTGGCGTTACAGTATGCGGAACACTATCGCGAACAGAGCGGTCGGTATCATAACCGTAAAGAAAAAAACAGCGCTGGGCTTGTCGTGGTTGGGCTCCCCACTGCGCAAAGTCAAGTTCCGAGGCGCTCAGTCACTGCTCAGCCACCCCAGTGAGTCATGGCGCGGCAACGTCCAGTGCCAAGCTGCCCAGGCTGCCCAGCATTGTGGATGAGGCTTGGATCTCTCGCAGCCCCCTCGCCAGCAAAAGAGCCCCGAAAATGGCTTGTCTCTCTTGGCCCGAAGTGCGGATAAGTGACCGCTCCCCGCATGATCAATGACGGAACCTCCCGCGACGCCCGACTCACTGAGGCCACGTAGAAGATTATTGCCTTTGAGCAGGGAAGACGTCGACGATGTCCAGTGGGGGGATCCGGGAGCTTCAGGATCGGCAGAAAACACGCCGTCTGATTGGGCACGTCGAGCTTCTCAGACGCGGGGCGAGCCCTGTGCGGTGACAGACACACGAGAGCACCCGGGGCAGGCCTCGGAAGAGATCGATTCGAGTGCTCCCATTTTCGGGCGGGTCGTCGTCGCAAACGCCAGGTGCACCCGGTACCTACCTGCAGCTGGGAACGCTGTGGGTCCTCGCGTAACGCCAACGATCGCCACCGACTCCTCGGACACGCCGAGAAGGGCGGGCCTCGGTGGGCCCCAGCTGCGACGTGCACGCGCGACAGTCCCGAGTGATTCCGGGTTCTGGATACGGCTGCGGTACGTAAATCAGTGCCGTGGAGGAGTGTCTCCCTGCGAGCGTCATCGCGAGCCGGGGCATTCAGTAAAGGGCGATGCTGTGCCACAATTGTCGGCGGAGGTAGCTCTTGCCATGACTTCGCTGACTTTTCTGATTGCCCGCGGCTTACAACAGTCATGCGTTCAAATCCTGTTCTTGGCGTTCAATTAGCGGGCACGCTGACTGGGCTCGTGCATTCAACACCCTGATCATGGTCTGCCAGTCAGCAGCCAATTCCACTCCGACATCCCGGGTTAGCCTCAACAATTATTGTTCGTAACAATTAAGCAACGTCAGGACTCTCATTAATCATACAGGCTGTTTCCCACATTACTCTATTATGGATTGTCCGATAGATGCCAGGAAGATGTGCGAATGCTAGGAGAGCGAAACAGTCGTTCAGATAGTCCATGTATCTATCATCACAACGAGCTGCCTAACGATGCCCCACGTCAGATGCAGCATATGTCGTTCGTAGTCGTTCAACGCCTTTTGCATGAGTGCGCCGCTCGCTAGCCCAATCTGCTCAGAAAAGTGTTTCGCGGTCTGCAGGACCCTGTGAGCATCTGATGAGACACCACAAATGACTGACGACCCACCCTGACATGCGAACAGAAGTCGACCATCCGCGATCTCTTGTATTCGGCCCATGCGAGCAAAATGAGCCCATGGACGGTGTCAAGCGAGGCTAATTGTCCGCGCGAAACAAGAGCCTGGGCACAACAGTCAGATTGTGACCCGGTCCCAGGAGACAAATTCGTACCTTTGCGTGCGCGCAGTACGCCCCCGACACGTCTGCGGCGCCACGTTGCAGTACCTCAGGGAGATCCGAGTACCTGTAACGCCCGAGTCAGTTCAAACGCGTCATCGGGCGGCAAGGGCGGACGCACCAGGCAGCGAGCGCTGCGATGCCCGTCGCAACCAAGGGGGAGAGGGACTGCTCGAAGAATTGCCGGACGGTCTCGTCGTATGCCAGGCAAGGGAACGTTTGCCCATAATGGTCGAAGTATGTCTGGATGAAGTGCATCATCAGGGTCGAGTGGGGCTGATCCGGACAGCGTGGGTCAAATAGCGGCAAGACGACTGGCGATGGGCTGGGGGTGGTGAATGGTTCCGAGGAGGGGTTGTATAGCGAGAGGTCGCTTTGGAAGCTGAGGACGCTGGCTGGGGAGGCTGCGGATGTTGGAGCGGTGCATTCGCTTTGCCTGGAGAAAGAGGATGTGCATGAGACAAAAAACACACCATGTCACAACAAGGTCGACTCACCACGACTGCTGGGGAAATATCGGTGAGCTCCAGTCAGTTACGACGTCTGGTTGGACGTAGGGCTGTGCGGGTGGACATGTATACGATGATACGTATGGCTGAAGGAGGTCAAGCGTCGGAGAAGATGGACTTGACTCGTCGGAGGGCAGGCTACATGAGCGCTCTCGATCGTGATATGGGTCGAGGATGGAAACCGCTATGCGCGATTCAGCGCCACCGAGGACGGACTCCTGCTCGGAGGAGGGAGACCGCCCGCGAGACATAAGGCGTCCGCGCTCAGCAAAGTACTGCTCACGGTCGCGATATCGACACGGGACCCGGGCAGCGGCGCAAGCCTGGCATTTGCTGGAGGATTTGGACTGGATGCATTTTATTTTCTTGAGGCGACTGTGGGGGCAGGGTCAATGGGGTGCGGTCTGGGGCAGACTGAGGTGGTGGACTGACCAGTGATCGCAGGACGTTACGAGACGAGCGCGTTTCCTGCGGGTCTGGCCGTGCTGTGGGGCCTCGAACACGATCTGAATGCCGTCCATGGGGAGGGAGAGAGGGCTTGGCTGAGGGGGAATGTGGGCATTTGAGAGCGCAGGTGTCGGTATTTAAGCATGGACGCTAAGCCGCCGCCTCACATCAGGGGACTGGCGCCAGAGAGGGAGGAATTGTCGCCGGGCAGAGTGGAGGCGGGCGCTTGGAACAGTGTACAAGATCGACGATAATTCACGCCGGAATTTCCGAGAGAGGCCGCAGTCACGCCTGGCAAGGGCTGCGCGGACTGGACCCCGGCGGCGTAAGCGACATGACGACGGCGGGGTTCGATCTCTGTCGCCGCGCACACAGCCAGCGCCCAGACTCGTGCCCCCAGCGTCCCTCTCTCCGACCACCTGCCGCGCGTGCCGCACTCTCGGGCAACGCCCTGCACCACGAGGTCTCCATCTAATCAGCCCCCCCCGCCCGTAGCCAGTCTCGGCGACGCTGCAGCCCGCAGCTCCCACCTGTTGGGGCTGATCTCTGGGCAATCCACTCAACAAACCCTATTCGAATGTCACAGCATCACAGGGTCTGCCCCCGAGCGCGCTCCGCCCCGCACTGAACACCACCCAGACTGTTCAAGTCCTGGTCCCTGCACGCCGGATCCATACGGACGGTATGCACCGACATCGGCTCCTCGAGATGCAATCAGCAGCTTCTCCCGAGAATATCGTGTGTAAGCCAGCACGCAGCGCACCGACTCGCCCTGCTCGAGTCGCCCGCCTTGCCGACTCCCTGCGCGACGTCAGTCCGCCATGGGGATACAGAACAAGCCTGCTTTTTGCCCGACTGGGATTTGCAGTCAATCTCCCTCGTCGCCGACACGTGCCCACCCATGATCACGACTCCAAGGCACGCTTGCCTGCTCCCCCGCCGCCTTAACCACACAGGTACGGGCTGCAGCCTGTCGGTCCATCATACGATGCGCAGATCTAGCGTTCAATACGGTTAAACCTCCGCCCTTCACTTCCTTTCCATGCCGCGCGGCATGACCTGATTCTAGTCCCTCGCAAATATGCGCATAATCTTCCAACACAGACATCCCGCCCCCCGCGCGCATCGTCGCCCAAGGCAACCGCCGTGGAGTCCACGTCCAGGCGAAACACCAGCTGCGAGCGCAATCAGATCCCCGGGTTCTCGTCGCAGTTTGGAGGAGCGTGCTCGAGCTTCACGGAACACACCGACCTTTGTTCGCGTTGCCGATCGGAGATTTCATGGCGGCTTTCTACCGCACGCCCTGTGCACCCACCGCTCGACTGCCTGTATGCCCCGCCGTGCCGGTGCCTCACGGCATAGACACATCCTCTTCGGAGCGACCAGGAGCACGAGCAGTGTACCGTCGGGGCTGCCTCCCGGTCTGCCCCAAGCGCCATACGCATCCTTCGCGACCTAAAATGTCAAAGTCCACTCAGTTTGCGGCGAGCGTTCGTCACTCAAACATTGCCGTCGTCGTCGCAGTTTTCAATAGGTGTCATCATTCGTTAATACGGCCAAAATCTTCCGAAGCAATGTAGCGCTCCGACGCTGACTCGAGCCCAAATTCATCAATTGATAGTGCGTCGTGGAGGCAAGCGGCTGCAATCACAGGCCGCGAGAAACCAGTGCTCTGCGCTTGTATCGCGCCAAGCTTGGCTGCAGACGTCCGCGGAGGTCATGCTATCGATATAGCTACACATGATTCGGACCATGAAATGCGGCGCACCTAGCGAATAAATTTCGGGGCGGCGTTCACGCCTGTCGTTTCCCCTCGTATCATCCCGCTGACCTTCTCAGGACCTGCGTAGCTCTAGCTCGGGCCAGTCCACACAGCTTGGGTTTCCACCAGAAATCGCGAACCAGTCTATTGCGAGCGAATTACTATGATATGCGAAGATCCTCTTTCCATGCACGCGGGACCTCGTCTACGGTATACGGCGGCGGATCGCTGGTCGCCGAGCGGGATGCTCCGGCCCCATAATCAGTATGTTCTGCATCTTCATCGCTGCCGACGTCGAAGAGCAGCTCCTCGGGTTCCCCCGTGAGATCATCCTAAGCGGAGGTCAGCTCCAGTGGCATCTAGTGTCCAAAGCGAGGGTTTGCTTACTGGTGGCATATGTCCCGTGTGAGAGTCATGACTGCTTCTCGGATCAGCATCTGGATTGAGTCGTTGTGTCTCATCGGAGAGCCCGCCTTGAAGAGCTACGCTGTCGTCCAGCATGTCATCATCTTCGATGGGAATTCCATGGGCGTCAAGAGGGACGTTGGAGTCTATTGACTTCCGATACTTGTGGTACGTATACAGCGCGATACCTAAGGTACATTTAGCATCTTCCCGAGAATATATTCACCGTAAACTTACCGCAAACAGTAATGGCAACTCCCGTAATGTTCAGGGGTGTTAACTCGTCGCCGAAAAACCAGGCCGAGACGGTGATGGTCGACACCTCCTTGGCAATGCCAGCGATGGACATTGGGACTACACCCGCGCGCTGGAGAATGCTATGAAGGATGGGACGATGAGCGAACGCGGCCGAGAGAAAGCCGTGTGAAACACCTACTAGAATTCGCTTAGTACCATACAGAATGCAATGATACCAGGCGAGATGAGGAAGAAGCATGTTTCCAGTAACTCTTCACCGTCGAAGAAATGATTGTTAAAGACTTTCGCCCATCCGTCCACGAGGAGGGTGGTGATGGCGAGCGAGACGCCCATGATGGGCGCGAGCCAGAACAGTGTCGCCGCAGGATTGTTGAAGCCCATTTTCTTGTTCCTCAGTAGCAGCTGGGTGAGGCTCCAGCGGAAACCGCCAAGTGCGCTGCCGCCCATAACGAGCAGGAAGCCAGTCAGGTCAAAGTGCGCCTGCGTCGCGACCATGAGGAGCACACCGATGACTATGAGCACAATGACGCCGACAAGGCGGAGCGAAAATGTCTCGAGCCGGAAGAGGAACGCGAACATTAAAACGAAGATGAGGGACGACGATTTGCACATAGCTGACAAAGACAATCAGCACATCGTCTTGGTCAGACAGGATCAACATAGAGGTGGAAACATTGGACTATGCAACTCACTGTAGAATGACAAAGTAATAAGTTTCAACGATAAATTGGAAAGTCCTATGTCAAAGCCTGTGGATACACCTGTCGGGACGGCTTTGTATCTGGAAAAATATTAGACCCAGGCGTTGGAATGATGAGGTAGCAATGTCTAGCGCACTCATAGCCAACGTCACGAAATGCTTGCTGTGTAAACTGGACACGCCATGGAATATTCACATAGCAGATTCCGTGACGATGGTTGACGCTAGACACGCTAGGCCGGAGTCCGGTGGACGCACTCACAAATAGTCTGTACGTGAAGGGCTGTGTGCTGGACGAAAATGCCTTGGCCACATCACTCTCAGGAGTGCGGCCAGCGTGAACTGGACCGCCATGTGCAGAGTCGTCACGAACAGCGGCGAGGGGAAGCCGAACTGCTCTGGTGAGAACATCCACTTGTTGTAGACGGAAAGCACAATCGCAAACGCAAACCTAAGGATGCCAGGAAATGGTAAAACCAAAGACGAATGAATGCTATGGCGGGTACGAACGCACCATGAAGCTATAAACCCCACATTTATGACCGCATTCCGCCACCAGAGTCGTTTCTTCTCCGCCAGCGAAGCAACGTGGACGGGAATCAACTCATCTTCGCCCGTGTTGTCCTCGAGATTACTTTCGGAAGGGGGTGCGACTAGAGAATAGCCATTCGAGTCGGACTGGTGGGCCATGGGCTGGGAGCATACTGAGGGACCTCCGAGCAATCGCGTGGGTGTCGCGCCCGCGGTCACGTTTATCGAGTCGGACTTGGCCCCAAGATCGTCGACGTCGAAGTATTTATAGCTAAAATCAAGTATCTCAGATGGGGCTTCGTATATCTCCGTCGCCGAGGCAGCGGCCAAAACATATCGTTCCGTTCATATGTACGAGACTACAGCGACTCGGAACAGTACCAAATGCAAAAAATCCACTACCGCGCAGCATAAGCGCCCCCCAACGTGATTCGCATCGAAAATTCGCAATGCAGACCCTAGAAGTCGCCGTTCCATCGCCGCGAATACTCGAACAGGATGGTGGGAGCCACGCTCGGCGCGGAGTGTAGATTGCATCTACAGGAATCCTATGGCTCCTTGTCCGAGCTATCCCCCCCGATTGAGCCTCGTCGCTGACTTGTAGCTGGCTTCAATAGGGGGCGTGCGCCAGCCACCTTCCATGGGAGACTATGGTGATGATCCGCGTTCCATCGAGGCAACTGCGCAAGCAGCAAAGAGTGTTAGCCGGTTTCATGATAAAGCATTCTGACCCTGCTCTTGGCCTTCAGGTATGGCTTGCTGGTCAGTGGGCTGCGCCGCAGCGGCTCGATTTGGCTCACGCCTTCGGCGTAAATTAGCACCGGCATCGAGACAAACCGAGGTGGCGCTTACCATGTTCTCCAGTGATCGAACTGCTTCTGATTCAGGTATTCCCTCCACTCGTCTTTGCCTATTTCCGACCGAAACTGCGCATGTTGCAACAGCTCTAGGTGATGCAGTGCGTGTGGGTAGCTGAGCATGAGTAATACTCAGCGAATAATCCGCAACCTCGGCAAGTCGACTAACAGAATGAAGCGTGCATAGTCTTTCTCCTTCCAATACATCAGATACTTGAGAAAGTTCACGAAAGCAGGTTGGTTTAAGATGTTCTGTTGAGCGAGAGAATGGAGATAAAACGGATTCGCCAAGGATTGAACAAACTCGAGTTCGAGTTCGAAGCGAGCACGATTCGCGGCTCTAGGATCTTCAGGTTGGGTCATAGTTTACAATGTCAACAGGGATGAGAGCGTAACACAACAAGCCCGAATGGCTTTCCTACACGCGCACGTGACTTGGGAAAGTTTGAACGCGTCACTCGCGCCGCGCCTCAGGCCTACATTGATAAGTGACCACTTGTCCTCTCTCACAAATCTCACAATGTCTGCAGACGACGAACAAAGCGGCTGGCAGCTTACCGAATCAGATCCAGGCGTCTTCACGTAGGTTTAAACCGTCTGAAATTAGACTCTAGCGTGCTTACAATCCCGACTAGTGAGTTGCTGAAATCGCTCGGAGTTCCACTAGTAGTGGACGATCTATATTCGCTCGACTCAGCTTCACTTGCTGACCTGCAACCCTTGCACGCATTTATCTTCCTCTTTAAGTGGGTTGGATCGTCATCCGAACCCGCCGATGGACAGTATGACCCCGACTTTCCTGGCTTTTTTGCGCACCAGGTTGTAAACAACGCGTGCGCGACTCTTGCTGTCATGAACGCGATCGGGAACATCCCCGGCCTTCAGATGGGCTCCCAGCTCTCTGATCTGATGAGCTTCACGACTGGGATGGACCCGCAAACGCGCGGTATGGCAATTACCAGCTCGGACTGGCTGAGAGAGGCACACAATGCACTATCTCCGCCTGCAGCAATATCATTGGATGGCCTAGGGCTGCCGAAGACGTCAGAAGATGCGTACCACTTCATTGTATACATGCCTTATATGGGCTGTGTATACGAATTGGATGGTTTGAAACACTCGCCGGTCAGTCATGGATCATATCAGGAAAGTGGCGAGGGATGGGTCGCAAAAGCTAGGTACGTCGGACTCTCGTTTACCTGTCCCCCGTCACACAAATGTAACAACGGTAATGCAGGGAAGTTATCGAAGCCAGGATAGCGACGTACCCGGCAGGCGCGGTAAGTGACGACAAGTGATTCGAATTCATATTACCGTCTAACCCGCGCGCCCGTACTTCGGATAGCTCGAGTTCAGCCTGTTAGCGCTTCGCGAAGACCCAATCCCAAAACTTCAGACGCAACTAGCTGAGCTGCAGTCGACAGGTCGACAGGTAGACGCAGCGGAACTATTAGATAAGCTGACCACCGAGAACGCAAAGCGTGAGCGCTGGGCTGTAAGTAATATTTTTAGTGCGGGCATGTCCTCTGATGGGTGAGGTCGCACTAATTTCACCCGCTACAGTTCGAGAACAGTTTACGGAGACACAACTACGTTAGCCTGATACACGCGCTTCTGGCAGCGCTTGCTAAATCGGGTAAGCTGGAGGCAGCAAAAGATGGTGCCAAGCAGGCAATGCAGGAACGCGTGCGGAAACGGAAAGACAAAGGTGAATCAACGATGGACGAAGATTAATGTGCGCGTGTCACGCTTGTTAGAGCGGTACTACGGGCTACAATCGGACCCTACTGCATGTCATATCTAGGGACGCGCGTACCAGAAATACGGTGATCCGGTTTGGAGAGGCGGAATAATGTGATGCTTAGAATTCGGAATTTGGCCAAGTTACTTTATGGAAGACTTGGCGGAGCGCTTCGTTCTGATGTGGATACGGGTGGCCATTGGTAGCTAGACTGCGGATGTAGAACGGCCTTTGGCATCGGGACATGTAGGATCTATTCTGCCAGAGCCTCCCGTCGACATAGCTCGTGAAGATTCGGATTCATGGAAGCAGGGCGGTCAGATCGCGACTGGCGTCGGGTAGAGAGAACAAATCAGGAAGGTGTAGTGGAAGGACTCGGAAAGCGGCGCTGTAGAGATTCAAGTTAGCAGACCGATCGCTTCAGCGGTATCTCGTGTCGCGAAAATGCGGGCAGTTGTGATGCTCCTGCATTTCGGCAGCATCGCCTTGCGAATCAGAACAGGGGTAATGGAAAAGATGGGGACACTCCTGAACTACAGCCTCGTTTGCGGCGTTCAAGCGACCCCAGTGACAGGAAATTCCGAATTTTTGGCCGCCGCACAATGCCAGCAGAAGTCACGTCGTAAAATCGTGCCCTTTTACTCTCTTGACCCTGTCGTTACCGCGTTGGGACGGCGGCTTGTCGATACCGATAAGTTTTTTTATTCTCGCCTCTCTCAAACTTCCGATGCCCGGTCACTGGATGACAGCCTGAATCACTTCTAGCGTCGAACGCCTCGAGGCGAGTATACCATGAGAAAAGTACAATTAGCCTATCAGTCATTCACTAGTCGACATCAACAGGATTCCAGCTGATGGCACCGTTCTTGCCTCTGTCCAGAGCATCTAGACGCGTCATGTCCTCATCATCGAGGGTGAAGTCATAAAGTTGGGTATTTGATCGGATACGCGCAGGTGTAGCTGATTTGGGTAGCGGTACAAATCTGTTGATTCATTCTTGGTCCACAGATGATATGTGGAGATAACAGTACACGCTTACCCCTTTTGAAGTGACCAGCGGAGGAGCACATGAGCCGGATCTCTTTTGTGCTGCGCAGGCTTCCAATTCAGATATTCGCCGTCTCCTTAATTGCTTGATGAAATTACCTTGCTGGCAATCTCCATGATGGTAGAGTTATCCATCTTCCCGCGCAAGATAGGACAGTAGGCTTGGACTACAATGGAGTGCGCGAGGCAGTATTCCACAATCGGTTTTTGCTGACAAAAAGGATGCAACTGGATGCGTGTCAATCACAAGACTTGTCAGGTGCTGATACAAGAGCACACTCCAAGTAACCCGACGTACTTCTATTTGATTTACGGTGGGCATGTCCAGGCCTGCGTTCTTTATTTCTTCAAGATGCTTTACCCCGCTGGAGTATTTGAACAGCAGCCGAGATTAGCGATAGATGGGGAGAGTGTATGATTAAAGAAGGCAAACGCCGCGCTCACTAGTTAGAAACGCCGATACTCTTGATTTTTCCAGCATATCTAGATTCTTCTAGGGCCCTGTACGTCTGTAGACGCCTTTCACGTCCGGACATTGGGTCGTGAATAAGGAAAAGATCAATGTAATCTATTCACAAGAACTCCGACATCAAGGACGGTGCGTAGGGTCAATGAACACGGGGCGGCAAGTACGTACCAAACCCGAATCGCTCCAAGGATGCGTCCACGCCCTTCAGCGTGCTCTCGTAGCCATGGGTCTTGTTAATGCACTTGGTAGCTTATGAATATGTCACGCACAACGTCATTCCCGTCAGAAAACGCGGGTGACGTACTGATGAAGACGTCCTCCCTATTGAGGCCGCTTTCTCTTACCGCTTGTCCGACATACAGTTCATTTCTGTAAGCTTGGGCAGAGTCCACGTGCCTGGTCATGCAGGTCAGTTTCAATATTTGTCATGAAATGTCACACGGAGACCTGTAACCCGCTCGAAATGCCTCAAGGACGGAATCCTTCGTGGTGTAGTTCTGATACACGCCGAAGCCAAGTATCGGCATATTGTGCCCTAGCGGCGAGAGGTTGGTTGATAAGCTATGCGCATGATCGTTGGAGATGGCATACCGGACGACAGGCGCACCGTAGAGTCGAGACTAAGCATTGTCGTGCTAGACAGTTGCAGAGGACACTGACCCCCTAACAACAACGATACGCAGCGATCACGAAGAACTTGGACGTGGCCCCCTGTGGGCGCTTGTGGGTGCAAGATTGATCCAAGCACGTGTATCACTGTGCTCGCTGGAGTTCCAGGCTGAGCGCAACGAGCCACAGAAACAAGAAAACAAAATAATTCCATTGATCATATCAAACGAACCAATAGTAAAGTCGCCAAAGTGAGCCGGCTCTTCCTCCTAATTTCCTTTCTCGCTCTTCATCTTCCACGACATCCTCTTCTCCTTCCTCGTATTCATCCCGCCGCAAGTCTACAGTCCGCGTATCTACAAGGTCGTATAATTGTCTCCGCCTTCTGATTGGGGTACCCAGTAATGGCGCATGAGGTGTGATGAGCGGCGATGCCTCAGCATCACTGGATGAAGATAAGGCCGATGGAGATTTAAATAATGTCCACCCAAAATACATCACTAGCATCGTCGGAATCTCGATGTAGAAAGATATAAAATCTACAAACGAGAATGTGGGTATCACAGAAGACCATCCTTGAACTGAGAAGAATTAGTACTGATCGCGACCTCGGATAGTTGAAACATTACCTGCTATCAGGATTATAACAGATACGATCTATGGCACGGCCATGCCAATCATTAGTTACCATGACTACGACGAAAGATGATACGTACAACAAATGGGGGTCCCCAAGGCCATGTCCACGTAGCTCGGAATTTCATCTCGTGGAGAGGACGTCCTTGACGCAACCACGCCCGCCTAAATTTCCAACTAGCTATCCCAATGGAAAGCCACGCAATCTAAACGAATAAATGAACCTCTGTAGACTGACACGTGCTGATAGCATGATACTCTACCTGATTTGACACGCCCACGATGTTCTGCAACCAGCCCCATAGTGTACCACTTCCGATGAAGCTTGTAGCAAAGCACAAAATACTAACACTGCTGGTGGCTAATAGGGCGGGGAGTGGCACTCCGTTCTTCGTGGTCCTCGAGAAAAGCGCCGGCGCCTGCCGGAGAGGCGCCGTAACTGACAGTCCGTACAAAACCCGGGTGCCAGCAAATAAGGCATGATTGCCAGCAGAAAGCACCGACGTCAAGATGACGGTGTTCATGAAGGACGCAGCAATGTCTGAATGTGATGAAGTCAGAGACAGCCACAAGGAAAAGTGAAGCATATACTAGACCCAGCCAACTTGAAGACAATAGTGAAAGGAGAAGTGGTGGTGGACCTATTGGACAAATTGGGATAGTTCCAGGGGACTAAACGTCAGATTGCATCGTATGTATATTGTAAGTGGGGCAAACGCGTGAACACTTGGCACGTACCGTTTAGCCCGATGAGGGCAATACTCAAGATGTAAAAGAGTAAGATCCTATCAATGAAGTGAATCTGAGCGATCTTATGTCGATGCCTCGGTCGATTCAAGATTTACCTCCAGAATACGAATTTAACGACTCTTGGCATATTGCGTGATGGATTCTTGGTCTCGCCAGCGGTGATGCCCAGACTTTCAGTTCCTCCATCTGGAAGACCACCCACAGAGGTACATATCAGTGGGGGCGATCGAGAACATAAGCCGTCATAAAACGTACAAGCAAAGCTAGCAGTCACAAATACCCGAGCGAAGCCTCCGAATCCGCCCACGAAAGGCGCTCCGGCGATGAGCCAATTTCTGACGCCGATGAGCTCATGTTCGCGATTTGCGCCAAGATTGACGAAGATCCCTGTAATGATAAACAAGATAACCGTAACGATCTTGAGCGACGATAGCCAATATTCTGGACATCATAAAGCCATCGAGGGCCAGTTTCAATCGAGATTTAGTCATGAAGTGGATCTAAGCATGGCAGCACACGGTGGCGTACCCAACTCCCCATATGCTCCCACGTGGGTTGCGTTTATGCCCACGAGAAAGACCCAGAAGGTCAAGCTGATAACCCATGGGTGCCATGTCGTCCAGAACTGCAGCACGAGTTGCGCGGCAGTCAAGTCGGACGCAACTGAAACGGCATCATTAAACCAGTAATTCCACGAAAGCGCGAATCCATATGCTGGGGAAAAGAAGCGTGTTGCGTACGCGTTGAAGGATCCTGTCAATGCGACAAAAATAAACAAAAGGAACTCGACGTATTTATAGCTGCAATACAGAAAACTGGAGTGCGCACACACGTGAACGAGTCAGTGATGGGCCACTGCCGAGCCCGACTGAGATAGGCGGGTTCGGATTCATATTGCTAAAATTGTAGGTGTACTATCCTTCAGCCGATACGTATCACAGTATCCTGCATCACGAATGTCCAAGCCAACAGGCTTCAGGTACAGATACATGGGCAGCAATAGTTTGACATGACTCCAAAAAGAATGTAGCTCACCTGCTACAGGATATTGTGTAGCCATTTCCCCGAGCAATAGCAATGTAATATAAACAATAATGCCTACAATTCCGTAGCTAAATGACATCCGTATTTGTGAAATATCAGACAACATTGGCATCTATTAGCTCAACATGCGCACCATATAAGCATGCTCGCTGGACCTCCCTGCGCCAATGACCTTCCCGTACCAAGAAACAGCCCAGTGCCGATAGTCCCAGCAATAGCTATCATGGAAACCTGGCGCGCCGACAGGCCTCGCCGTAAACCTCCATGTTCATAGTCCACAGGAGGAACAGGAAGGGCATTGATTGGCAGATCCTCTATTGGAGTAACTGATTCAAAGCGTTCTGGAAGTTCTCCGGAACGGATGGTCCCGTATGATTGTCGCTCATTCGAAGGTGCTGTCATGCTCCAATCCGGTAAAGATGCAATGAAGTAGGCCGAGTTCGGGATAGCAGTAGCAAGTCTTCACATAGATGTTGTTGATGTAGGAAGAGTCATGCTAGCGACTGAGTCCAGCGCCGGATGCGAAGTCTCCCCGTTCGACATCGTCGTGATGGAGGCACACGCCATTATGGCGCCACTGTTCTCTGAAGGCTCGGTCAGCGACTCAGAGACTCGCCGAGCTTTTGCAAGTTCGTCGATCCTGCATCGCCATCTGATCAAGTTTACCAACACCCAGCGGATGTCCCCGTCCAATACCCAACTTAGAACATCTTCGATCCCAGAATTAACAAGGACGAGTTCGCGTACTATGATAAATATGTGGATAGGTGGAGATAAAGCTAGCTTCAATGCTACAAGGTCCCAGATGTTCAAGATAAGTCAGTCCGTATCCAAGTATTATCATTGCCCTAAAATATGGTTCGCCCGCGCCGAAGATAGTAATCAGAGTAAGTGCTTGAATCCCGCCTCCTTGCACTTTTTCACGAGACGCTTCACCTCCTGCGAGCGTGCGCGTGTGGTGACAAGGAGAGTATCAGGCATGTCGACGATGACAAGATCGTCCACTCCCAAAAGAGAGACCAGCCTCCCAGAGCCGGGAACGACGATGCCCCCGGCCGCCTGCTCCGTCAGCACTGGATCCCATATTGTCAACATTGCTACACGCTTTACAAATTGGATTTCTTACCAAGTGAATTGTCACCGAGGATGCGCGGCTGGTTGGATTCCGCTGGGAGAAGATCAGCGAGGGAAGAGAAGTCTCCGACATCGTCCCAACCTACATATGCTTTAGTAATACGGTAGAACACAGGTATGCTGACTGCTCACCGAATGTCGCGGGCACGACCGCAACCCTCCGGTCCAACGCGGCTGGCTCAGCGACAGCATTATCAATAGCAATTTTCTCTAGCCCAGGCCATATTTCATCCAATGCCTTCTCCCTCAACTTCTCATCATCCCAGCACGCTGCGATCTGCTGCAACCCATCATGTAGATCAGGTTTGTACTCCTTCAGCAACTGCATCAGGAACGCCGCCTTCGTCACGAACATACCCGCATTCCAGCGATAGCTACCTGTCTTGATGTACGCTGCGGCTGTACGTGCGTCGGGCTTCTCCTTGAAACTCGACACGAGTCGCGCATTCGGTGCATCCACCATCCCTAGCTTTTCTCCCAGACGAACATACCCGAACCCAGTTGAAGGGTGCGACGGTGCAATACCAATTGTGACGAGATAGTCCTTCCTCGCAACCTCGACGGCCTCCGCAACCGCAGAGAGGAAAGCGTCATCACCGGAAATCATGTGGTCGGCCGCGAACGACCCAATTACTGCATTAGGATCACGTTTGGCAAGCACCGCCGCTGCTAGACCGATGGCAGCCATAGAATCTTTTGCGCTAGGCTCGCAAAACAGGTTGTGGTGTAGCAAATCCGGAAGCTGCTCCTTGATGCTCTTCACATGAGCAGGGCCAGCAACGATGGTCGTGCGCACTGACGAAGAGAGTGGGAGAAGACGATCCCAGGTGGCCTGGATGAGCGAGCGACCTTTGAGGGTGAGATCTAGCAAGAACTTGGGATGCTCCTCGCGAGACAGGGGCCACAAGCGGGTTCCAGCACCTCCAGCGGGAATCACAACATAGAAACCGGGAATGTCGCGGACGCCGAACGGGAACGAGGTGAGTGCGTTATCACTCAAGGGAGAAGGGACGTAGATGCTGGTACCAACAGCCAGCGCTGGAATTGCGCTGGGACTAAGGAATGGTGATTTTGCGCGTAGTTGTGGACTGCCAGGCGCAGGAGTAGTAAATCCAGGTGTCCCCATCCTGGAGTTGCTATTATACTAAAGGCATTGTCAGAAACATGTAGACAAGTTTGAATACATAGTGAGGGAGAGGTTTTGCAGGACGGATGCAAGGACAAAGATCCACAGACAGGTGTCCAGGCCGCGCCAGGAAACAGAAACGATCCTGCCTAATTGCGGCAAAGAATAGATGGTCCCCATAGATGTTAAGAAATACAACGACGTGGCACGAGGAAATCTGGTCAGATTGCCGCCGACTCACCTGTATGCCCTCCCGCACCAAACGTTCGAGGCTGGCATTGGCCTGTCTCAATTCATGACACTCAGAACGCAGCTCAGCTATCTCGAGATGCTTTTCGCCCGCAAAGACCGACTCAGCTGCTGACATTTGGACACCTCAATCGTCCACTCACTGAGTTGTGTACTGCATCCATGATCTGCTTGAACATCATCTCGATGGGGAGGCCATTCGCCTGCGCAGCAGACTTGGAAGGCATGCCTTGGGCATACATGGTGACAGACGGAAATGAGAGGATGGAAAGGGGTGGAAAGAAAAGGGATGGGTGTTATAAGTACGGGCTTGATGTGCCGTTCAGTGGGTCTGCTCGGTTTCCGTTGAGATATTGGATTCTACAGAGCGGAACAGATTCGGCGGCAATTGCCGGCTTGCACCATCTGACACGTTCGCGCTACTCGAGCGCCCAACTATTCAACCTCCTTCCACGTTCGTCTTACTCTTCACCTTCAAAAAACGCGACAAAATAGTTTTAGACATCCTCAATCTTTGCATGACAGATTTATTTCAGATCATAGAAAAGCGGTCATTGGTCGTGGCCAGTATCTTTCTCAGCAACCCCTGAGCCCTTGTAGCATCCATCACCTCGTGTCCAAGGCGGAATATGGAGGGCTCGGCCGCATAACTTTTCACTCGCCATGCAAATTTCCTACATAACGTCATTCGCAGCCCACCAACAGGTATTATGGGCCACATGAGCTCTATCGTTTTCTCATCCTATCCTTGTTTGGGCGACAACGACACAGGCACACGAGGTTACCATGTCTTGAACTTACCACGCTCCGTCAGTGACATGGGCATCTGATGTAGACCATAACGTGAAGACATGATGTAGCATGACGCTACGGAAGCCCAGAATGTCGGAAGGACCCATTCAGTCATCGTCGCTTCCGAACTCGAGAGCCTGATACTTGCGTGCCTTCTTCGTCGGGTTCGCCAGCGAGGCGCCTCTGGCGGTAGTTGCGGGACCTCGTGCGTTCTCTGAGTTCGGAGATATGGAACCGGGAAGTCAGTTTGATATCAAAGACTGCAGGAAAGAGATACTCGCTAGCAATAGAGTGCAGCTTGGCCGAATCTTGCATTGATGGCGCTCTCTTCATCGGCCGACTTGACTCAGCCCTCTCTTCAACTTTGCCCTTCAGGTCATTTGGTGGGGAATTAGTGAGCTGGTCCTTCGCCTTTGCCAATTCTGCTCTCAGGTTTTGTATCTCCTCACCCGCCTTCCTGTCGAGTGCGCTTGGTCGAGAAGGTTTGGACGCCTCACGCTTCTCTGCAAAGTGATGGTCAATGGTTGAGAAGACGTTAGGAGAGGTAGACAAACCGGAAGAGTTGGATGCGAGCGGGAGAGCAGAGGTGCTTCCATGTTCAAACGGCAAGGGATGTAATCGACAATTCCTTGACTGTGCAGAAACTGCGATCTGACAGAATCATTGTATTGGCCTACGTTATTATGAGAAGCGACAGTCACATACACTAGTGAAGATCTTTGTGGCGATTGATGCTGCTTCCTCAGGAAGGAGTTCGTTGAGAGCAATATTTGCTGGTATGTCAGTGTTTGTTCCGAGAACAAGCTAACGGAAAGCTTGAATCCCAAGCACGCTGCCACGTCGATTCCGAGTAGCACATACATACATTCATCTTCGCCCCTTTCTGCGAGTTCCATCCATTGATGCGCATTTCGCCTTGAACAAACGCATCTCTTAGCTGCTCGGCGTATGACTCTAGCGAAGACGATTTTGATCTGGAATTTGAAGCCTAGCGCGGCACAATGAGATAAACAGTACAGCTTGTTGAACGTACTGGCTCACAAAATGTGTTCGGATGTCTTTGTCCGTCCACCGTCCACACCACCACCGCCCCTCCGCACCACTGAGACCGACATGTACACTCCAACTGGCCTCATCCACATTAGAAAGGACAATAAACTTAGCAGAACCTTGATATACGACTTGTATGAGCTCATCAAGGGTACAAAACTGGGGCAGCGTGTCCGAGTCGGAGACCATGCTGAACTTCTTAGTTGAAATTTAGACAGATCGGGAACAAGCGGTCTCTTTTTTGTCTTGATCAACTTGTAGTATCAATAGATGAAAACATGCAGCACGGTTTGAACGCACAACGAAGGTGAGTGAAGTGAGTAGTATTTCTTAAACAGCAACCAAAGCGATCGGGCGCCACAACATCTTCAGAGTCATTTCCTTATCCGATAAAAGTGCCCGACTGAATGATACACTGTGAGCTTGATAAGCTCGACCTTGTCTACTTGTCCTCATCATGTTGGTCAGTGCTACTCTGTGTTGTATGTAAGCTATTACACATTAGAGCGAGTTTCTCCCATATTCCCACTTCTCTCGATTGCTGTAAGCTGATAATTATCGCTTCCACGGGTGAGATCGCTCGCCCCTTCAGTATATGGTCTACTGACTTCATCAGGCAGCGCTGTAAACTTGTATCCGACAAGGAGGAGGTATTGCAGCATGATATCTAGAGTAATATTTGTTGGTATTGGGTGAGCTTGGCGGTGGATCTTGGGCGTTTCTATACTAATAGCACTTTCGGCAGTGGAGCAACATGCTCGGGGAAGACAACGCTCGCGAAGCACCTACGTCGAATATTACCGGGCAGTGTGATTCTTCACCAGGATGTTTGTTCTCCGAGAATTGATACGTTTCTGGCACGTGTGCTGATCTTGTAATACGACGCAGGACTTTGCACCTGTGAGTCATGGTATCTAGTTTTTTCTCTCCTGGACCAGTAGTTCATCCTTCTCGAACGCGATGACAGCCGCAAGAATTGGTACCTATGCACCCAGAGTACAATGTGCAGGATTGGGACGACGCAAAAGGCGCTATAGATTGGCCAAGGATGATTAGGACTCTCGCAGAGGTGAGTCTCGATGCCAGAAGAGTCCTGAGCCGGATTTAACGGTTCTGCCAAACTGACTATTATTGATCGCCTGAGCGATCCTCTTACTCAGCTTCTGACTGATCGAGCACTTCCGTAGGTTAAGAAATCGGGCGTGATTCCACCTGAGCACTATTCTCATGACCATCTCAACGAGCAGAAGGACATCCCCATCGATAATCGCATCTTCCAGCATTGGCGAGACATATTCACCCAAATAGACGAAGAGCGTACAAAGAAGGGGGAGAAGACCATCTGGGTCCTGGTCGATGGCTTCCTCCTATACTGGCATCCAGTACGTTGAGATCCGATCCGGCCGCAGAGCATCGGGTCTCCTAACTCCGCGATTGCTTCTGCAGGAGGTAGTCAATCAGCTAGATGTCCGAATCTTCCTGCGAATACCGCACGATGTACTGAAGCAGAGACGCCACGAGAGGCATGGCTATCATACAGCAGGTAAGGCCTACCATCATGTCCCCCCTCTCTGTCTCCGCTTGCTCCGTCTGCGTCCTGAGAAATTCGTCTGCTTCTATGCTGTGACGTTGTAATGGGCCCTGACCTTATTCCCCTCCTTCCATGCACGTTACTCCTATCGCCGCACTCTCCCCACCTGCGCGACCGCACAACTTTCAACTACGTTTCATTCGGCCTGTGGAGTGCAATCCGACCCAGAAGGTACTCTATGGCGAGACCCGCCACATTACTGGGAGCAGATTGTCTGGCCCGCATACGTCGCAGCGCACTCAGGGATGCTCGAGGGGGGCGACCTCGAGCATGGTCGGTCGAACGGAACAGTACCTGGCCTGATCCTACTCGAAGGGCTGGAAGTGAGTATGGGGGACATGGTGGAGAAGACGTGCGCACGGCTTGCGGAGGTGATAAATTCGGCCGAAGTTGCGAAATAGAATATGTATTGCAGGTTGTACGGTTATGTAAAGGTTATGTAAAGGAACTATATCAGAGGACGCAACGTCGTTCCGCACGGATGGGCATGAGTCTGATTTACGGGGGACGAGTCGTTGGCCCGCGGGCTCGGCCACCGGAGGCAGAGCGGGCAAAGCGGAATTCACATGGCATCGGAAGCCCCTCGTGACGGCGCCTCGCTATAAGAGAGATCACTCCGTCTAGTTTCCTCGTTCTCTTCCCTCCATACCTCTTTACGTTTATCATGGCCCAAGTTATTGTCGTCGGTGGTGGTCTCGCCGGTCTCTCGGCTGCGCACACACTCCTCGAGCGGGGGGCCAATGTGCTCATGCTTGACAAGCAACCGTAAGTCTTCTGCTCATTGTCTCGGCTTGGGGAGCGTGTGCTGGTTGTGCACGGAAAGGGCGGACATCCGTGTTGCTTGCTGAGGCGGGGAGGCGTTGCTGGAATGCGTTTCAGCGGGGCGGCTCGCGAGGACGTCGGCTATGGAGGTACGGGACGCCGCGGGGCGTTGCCACTCCTCTCCGTAATGACATGCGAATATGGCTGTTGATTCAGCTCTCACGGAGGCAAAGTGCACACCTGCTGCTCCAGGATCTTCAGTCATGATGTATCACTGACGGCATTCGGCTGTAGGTTCATGGGTGGTAACTCCACTAAGGCCACGTCAGGTATCAATGGTGCCGGTACGCAAACTCAACAGGAAGCTGGCATTCCGGACAACGCCAAAATATTCTTCGAGGATACCAAGCGCTCTGTATGTGTTGTTGGTTCTCGAACTACTGAGTACTAATTGAAGTGTCGCAGGCTCGCGAACTCGCACGAGACGATCTCATCGGAGTTTTGACTGGCCGCTCGGGTGATGCTGTCAACTGGTTACAAGACAAGTTTGGTCTGGACCTTTCCAAGGTTGCGCGTCTTGGTGGTCACTCTCAGCCTCGTACGCACAGAGGAAATGCACAATTTCCTGGAATGGTAGGCACATCAGAAAAGATTTTCTTCTGGATACCGATTGTTTTGCCAGGTCATCACCTATGCGCAAATGGAACGTCTTGAGGATCTCGCCCAATCCATTCCCGACCGCGTAACGGTTAAGAAGAAGGCTCGTGTTGTCAAACTTATTCAGGATGGTGATGCTATCATTGGCGTCGAGTATGTGCATAATGGCAAGACCGAGACCGCGTATGGGCCCGTCATTCTCGCTACCGGTGGCTATGCCGCGGATTTCACACCTGATTCTCTTTTGAAGAAGTACCGACCCGAATACTACGAGCTACCCACCACGAATGGCGAACATTGCACGGGTGATGGCCAGAAGATGGCACTTTCGATCGGTGCAAATGCTGTGGACTTGGAGAAGGTTCAGGTACATCCGACTGGGCTGGTTGACCCTAATGAACCCGAGGCGAAGGTCAAGTTTTTGGCGGCTGAGGCATTGCGCGGTGTGGGTGGTCTTCTTTTGGATAACGAGGGGCAGCGGTTCGTTGACGAGTTGCAACATCGCGACTACGTCACTGGCAAGATTTGGGAGAATGGCAAAGTAAGTTTTAGATCAGTTTGTTCGACTTTTATCTTATGCCGCTGCTTTTAGTATCCAGTCCGCCTCATTCTCAATGGCACAGCATCTAAGGAGATAGAGTGGCACTGCAAGCACTATGTCGGTCGTGGATTGATGAAGCGATATGAGAGTGGTGCTGCTCTTGCGAAAGATATGGGTCTTAAGCCCGAGGTGTTGAAAAAAACTTTCGACGACTACAACGCTGTTGCGAAGTCTAAGAAGGATCCCTTCGGGAAGAAGGTATGTGTTATGTCAATGTTGTGTTCTCAAGTTTACTCAAGGTCTCATTGCATAGTTTTTTGTACCTGGCGAGTGGACTATGGATGACTATTTCAACGTGGCTATTATGACGCCTGTCCTTCACTATACTATGGGCGGTCTTGAGATCGATCCTGAATCCCGTGTGCTGTCCAAGTCAGGCAAACCTATTCCCGGATTGTTCGCTGCTGGTGAAGTCGCTGGTGGTGTACACGGTGCAAACCGGTTGGGCGGCAGTTCGCTCTTGGGTTGTGTTGTCTTCGGGCGCGTCAGTGGAGACTCTGCGGCGTCGTATCTGCTTCAACGACTTGGTCCGTTGGCGGAGAAGGCTGCAGGGCGTTTGGGCGTTGTTGCTGGCCACCTCGGTGCGGATTCAAGCTCCAAGGTAGGCAACCATTGCCCGTCACGCGTCACGATCCTTTATCTGATAGGCCTTTATGCAGCCGACCACGTCAGAGTCGAAAGCAGAGACTGGTGCGAAGAGTTCTGCGTCTGGGTCCTTCACGTCGGCGGAAGTTGCAAAGCACAACAAGAAGGATGATGTCTGGGTAATCATTGACAATCAGGTGTTGGACGTGACTAGCTTCTTGCCCGATCACCCAGGAGGGGAGAAGGCGATCTTGCTTTATGCCGGTCGAGACGCTACAGAGGAGTTCAACATGCTGCATGATCCTAAGGTTTGTGTGTCTTGTACTTTGAACAAACTTGGGCTGATGATGATATCAGGTCATCCCAAGATATGCACCAGACTCTGTCATTGGCTCGTTGAAGAAGTAGTTGGTTGACTTCGTCATCGCGCACACCATCCCTTGCCTGTTGCTATAAATTTACTGGTGGGATGGTATTGTCCCTGCTGCAGGCTGCATAGTATGTATTCGCAGCTGCTGTATCTGCATGTGTTTGGGATGTAATATCATGTCTTTAGTTGTATAATTTTAGATTTGTTTCTTTGTTTTTTGTGTGAACGGTAGTAGATGCTTTGGATTGACTGAAGTACATTGCCGCATCTAGTGCTGTTACCTCGAACTTACGTCCAAGTATGCACGAGGGTGGTATGTCTCGCAACACTGACGTGCCGAAGCTTCGTACTGCTAGTTCGATACAAATTTTCAGTGACAAGTCATCGTAAGCGTGATCATCTAATCTCGCTGAATGCCCTGAGTCTGAACCCAGATCACAGTACAGTGCCGTGGTAGTCCTCGAAGTTAGCTGATCCAGCTGCAAGCTCAGGCTTTGTTTTAGCGTGTTCAGGCCGCTCAGACAGTCACGGTAATGCCAAAAGGGCGGAGTCCTTCCTGTGGCATCATGATATCCATCTTTCGGTGGTCAGTGCCAGCAAACTGTCTATGTGAGCACCAGTCATGATATATCGCTATGTTGACAAATGGGAATCAGACATTGCAATTGATTGATGAGCCAACGAAATCTAGATATAGACTTGACGGGAGGTGCGTAAGGGCTAATTTGCTTTGACTATGACGCTTTCGCGCCCCATGTCGTACGCTTTAGCCGTCCACTCGGCTACTTTTCCACCTTTCAACTGGTAACAATGCCGACCGCTCCACTAGTTCGTCGTCTGAGTGGAAGATCTCAAAGCGAGCTGTGGTGAGTGCTATCTTATGCCCCCGGTTGGGCTATATAATTAGCTTTGGGGTCGGTAACGTTCCTGCACCCCATCCTAGGAATATTCGCCGACCACGAACCGGTCATCCGGGCTGGTCAGTCCTCCACACGGCTTCCCTCAAATGCAAGCACGTCAGCCAGCCCTCGATCAAAGGCTCCCTCAGCTTGTCATTGGTTTACCTAACTACGATCCAAACATTCTGGCGTATCGGATACAAAATGAACCAAACTTTGCTTATTCTGTGACCCTGTCCAGCCGAGATGACGCCTTGCGTTTTGCTGCCCTGTTGAATGACGAGCTCGAGCTAATCCGCGTATCTCCCGCCACCGAATCTGTCACAGATTACATCCAAGAATTGCGTCTTGTTGGGTTAGAGAAGCTGGACGGCTGGCTACCATGGATCTCTGAACCGGACCTTATACCGATCGGGCGACTCTGGAACTTGCGAGTCCTATCCTTCGAGAACTTTGATTTCTGCCACATGGTCGACGACTTGTTCTACAATATGCTACGCAGGCTGTTTTCACAGGTCGATGACGGGAAAATTGAGACTTTTTACATGAAACAATGCCGGTTCTCGTTCTTTTACCACTTTGACGTCCTCCTTTTTATGGTGAACCCGTCTATGCTTTACCTTGATCTCATATACTGGGAGTACGAGGATGAATACGTGTTTGGACGCCCCACTCAGATGGTGACCAGACTGCGGTTGACCTCGGTCGAAGCCAGTCGAGGCGTCCGCACCAGCTTGTCCAAAATCGCAGCTTGGCTCGTCAGAGTTGGCGACAAGAATTTGCTGACCAGCCTAGCGTTCACCGATCTTCCGCTGGAAAACGTGCAAGTGGTGGGTGCCGCATTCAAACACCTTGGCTCGTCGCTCCAAGAGCTCAAGATCGGATTCAAGTATGACGAACAAATGGGACCAGTCTCAGGTACGCACCGTCAGTATCCAGGTATGCCAATGACTTTTGACATCACGAAAATTTCGTAGAGATTAGGAAACATCTCGATTTTTCGTTGAACACTTCACTGCACTCGCTCCATCTGGTCATCAATGGCTCCCAGGAGCTCGCGTTGTCTTGGGTCCCAACACTGCTTTCTCAACTGCTGACAGAACACAGAACACTCAAGAAGCTGACCTTCGAAATTCCGTTAATCTCCAAACGTCAGTTGCAAAACAGGACGTGGGGCAGTCTAATGGAGATGTTGGACTACGCACAGCTCTCCAGCATCGTTTGGATACATCGTGGCGGTCTCAGTCCAGCGGAGACTCAGCACGCAGTATTGTCGCGTTTTCATCCGACCTTACATCCGCTCCTACGCATCAAAATAGCTGGAGCTGAACACGGTGGTATCGATCTTCTCGTCTAATTTAGTTATCTGACCTTGCCACTTTTTGTATATTATACGACCTAGTAGGTCGCGACCAATGTTATATTATGATCTGAGAATATGGGGTCGGGATGTACATGCTTCCGAAAATGCGCGAGCGGCGATGATGCTGCATAGTAAAATGTCATCAGTAGCTCACAACATGGTTGGCAGATTATGGAGAAAGTGACTTACGCGTGAATATGTAAGTTATATCACAGAGCTTATAAAGTAACCGGAGTTAACGACCACACATATCCCACAGCTCCCAACTATTCGACCGCATCGCCATTTCGTGGAGCCTATGCGATCAACTTCCGTATACTGTGTGCAATTAATGAGTCACTCGGCCCGCCATTCACGTCTACGCTCCCAGCACCTCGAAGACGTCACGAGCCACGAGGTAGTCATCGTAGTCCGGCGCAACCGATCTGCCGTCGAGCTTGCGTTGCACGACTGCAGGTTGTACTTTCGTGGCTCCACCTGCGACGTTCTTGACACCGTTCACGACCTTCCTTCAATTGATGCCCTCACTTTCTACAGCAGCGCCACGCGCGAGCAACTCATCTTGGAAGCATCAGTTGCGCGTAGACTTCGCGAGCCACGAGTTAGGCTTGTCCTCAAGCTCGCGACTCGCGAGCGCGGGTAAGACCTTTATATCGATACCCACTGCCTTCTTTAGCCCCTTTCCGGCCGCCTTCCAGTTTACCCCACGCGCACTACAAGGTCGTAGTGCATGTCCCGATGTATGATTGACCGGACGCCAATGGGGCGCATGGTTTCCGGGGAGCTTGTGCTAGCTAAGGATTCCGACGTGGACGCCAGTCGGTCCATATCCAGCGGCGGGTTCATGGCGTTCTGACCTTCAGAAAGCGTACGAGTAACGATTCCGCTGTAAAACTCGCGGGCCAATAGGTGCTTTTCTTGTCCTGGCTGGAGAGACGTGGGAGGTCACCTGCGCGGCGAATTCTGCGACAGTTTCACGCTAGTCTGAGATAATTTGAGCCTGCCAGACTTGTCCCCCCGCCTTGTGTGCGATGTGCTCACCCTCAACCTTACGCTGTATGAGGATTGAGAGAACCTCTGTGGTATGACCTTCCTTGCACCTTTGGCGACGGCTTTCCGGCCGACCGCGTGAATAGCGAGCGTGCCGTAACCCTTGCGAGTATATCCGTCATCGTTGAAATTGTGAGCGACAATGTCAGTGTTAGCAAATTGGAACTATGAGATGCTGAAGCGTGATGAGAAAAATCGATGCAAAGACAGAAGAGAAGTCTAGCGAGGGAAGGGGCCAGGTAGATGGCTGCAAAGACAAGGGGATGCAAACAGAGCGCATCGTGAATGCGACTATACCATCATGCGTGTGGGGGAGTCTTAAGTGGGAATGGTCTTGCATAGTCTTTTTATGCTAGTAACTGTAACACAATGTAGAATGCAAGCAAGTTGCCCCAAGGCCGAAAAGTGTCAACTTGAACATAGGTCATGGTGTTGCTGCAGTGGCAGCGGGCTTAACAGTTATTGGTTCACATCCCGTACAATGTTGCCAGTAGTAGCTGCTCAATTGTGCTCGCTCGTTTGTTGAGATACCAAAAAGAGCAGAACTCCCGGCAAAGTCCGCGAGCGAGCTGACCGAACAGTTGTAGGCTCGTGCCCAGCCGTTCTGACCTTTGAACTCCGCTGCGAGGCAGCTCGTTCGTCAGAACATGTTCCTCGTTTTCGCACTCAGAAGCTCCTTTTTTTGTTCCCGCAAAAATAAATGAAAACGATAAGAACGTGTTCCAAGTCCGACTAGCATGGGAGTCTACAATTGGGCAATGTATCGGACATGAAGCGGAATTTGTAATGTATACTCTTTTTGGTATCTCAGCAAACGAGCGAGCAACGAGCGAACACAATTGAGCAGCCCTAAGTAGGAACACTTGAAACGTGGCCAAAGACGCGCACTGACTCTGCCAATGGCAATTGTGGTCTCGTGACGCACACGAGACCCGGCTAATCGCAGAACTCAAAGGGCTTCAGCCTATCACGACCCTGACCTCCCGTCCAATGCGATGGCTTGACCAATCATAGTCCCTGGTTCGATTGCAGCGGGCAGTTCCCAGCAGGGGCTTCTCTGTGCTTCTGAAGGACGGATCATACCGATCTGCCAACGGCGCCGGGGTGTTTGTCCTGTTATAGGCAGATTGTGACAGCTACGGGAGTTTCCGTACCGGGGAGTCGCATCTTTTGCCTGGATTGGGACGATAGTGGCGCGCACTGGCGAGGTGATATCCCGTTGGATGTCCCTGTTTGAAGAGTTCAACTTTTCCCCAGTTCATATGATCTAAGTCGCCGCACCGTTTCCCCCTGCTCGTCTTGTACTCACCACTTTTAATCGACCTTATATTCGGCAAGGGTATACTTGGCCTTCCCATGTACTCTCCAGACACTCGCTGCACCAAGCTTTTTCTGGGCTACAAGACTTTCTTGTATCTTTCTGACGCATATTGCAACGTGGTTGTATACGTGTCGCGGTTACCGTCATGGCTCACAAGTCATCTCCTTTCATGAGCCCCAGTTCTGTTGAGTATCCCGACTATCGTACAATTGTACAATGAATATTTGTTAATTTCCTCACACAGCGTCTCGCTCCAAGCTATATCTGTGGTTTTTCGTGAGTCATTGTCTGCACATACGAGGGGAATCGCTCTCACCTTCTGCCCACCGTCGACCGCATCCCAGTCCAGACAATTCCACAAACATCGTCGGGAGTCTTTCCTGCTAACCGGCATAGTACGCAGGCGCATACTATTACGCAGACCGTGATGAAGACGACCATATTCGACAGCCAAGCTAGGCACAAGATTATCACGCCTGTTAGTGTCTCCATTCGTGCATTGTTCCATGGCATGGCAAACACCAGTCCCACGACACTCCCGATGAATGCAATGTCGACAGCACCAGAATGCGACTGGTTCGGCATCTGCATCAAAATGGCGGGAGCGGCCATGAACATCGTGACCTGACATTGTTGACCATGTAAGTGACTATTTGATATCATATATCGGGATTCGGACATACCCATCCCCCATCTAGCTGTGTCGTCGCCGCCATTGATATTGCGCGCTCTCTGGTCACCCTGGTTGTTTGTATCTTATGTCCCTCGTGCAAGTCACTACGTGCAGCTTCTAGATCATCAAATCGTGTTCCGTCCTTCCGTGTATGTCTGCGCGCTGCCGGTGGCCTTGTAACGATCCCTGGCTGTGGGTTATCCCAAATGCGTGTTGTGTAGATGCTGGGTGAATGTGTTGCGAAACTGGCACTCGGCCAGTATTCGTCGATATTCCGCCCTTGTGTGAGGATGTCTTCTTCATACATGTCCTGTTCGGCTCTCAGCCCCATTGATGGCATGCTAGATCCTCGATCGAATCCTGCTGGTTCGCAGATTGTTCTGCCGTTGCTCCATCGCCCAGGTACTTCATCGATATCTTTGTCGGGAGTCCAAGTCTCCCTCGTCTCTGTATTCCCTCTCGCCATTGCCGTCTTGTCGTCCAGTATGCCCCCCTCTGTGGTGGTCGAGCAGCTTCCACTGGAGGCCTCTGCAATCCACACCTGATCTTGGCTTTGCCTGTCGTTCCGTGCATTGGGAACAGAAGTACCGCTGATGTCAGTCTGTTCTGGCATAGCGGGTGTGTCGTTCCTGAGGCCTTTGCTAGAAATAACTGACCCTTGATAGTCGGTAGTCCTTTGCGTTGTGCCGACAAATGTGATATTTCCACCCGCGATTTGTTCTTGAACCTCTCGAATGTCATATATCGCAACGTCCGTGCTGTGGGCGGTCTGGCCCGTGCTTGCCATCCCCACGATAAGTGCTTTTTCACTGTCCCTCTTGATGGCTGCTGTCACCATTGCCTCTCGCATCTGGGATTTTCGGGTTTCCTCTCCAAAGTTCTTCCAGCGTTGTTCGTCTACTCTATCTCGCCCACCACTCTTGCCGTCCCTGCCGCATATTCTAGGAATGCTACGGTCCATCTCGCCCGCCCCAACCTCGTCCTTGCAGCTTGTAGCTGTATGGGTGCTGTGTGGGCCAGTTGCTAGTGCTTGCTTCATGGTGATGCTGCTGGCCAGGCTGTTCGCAGTCGTACGGAGCCGTCGAGGAGCTCAGAAGGGCGAGCGACAGTGATGCTAATACCTGTATTAGGGTCTGGCGGCAATCAAACATTCCTTATCTTCTCAGTGCTCTCATGTAGGACGTCTCTCACATGCGTGCACTATGTCTGTGCGCGACATGGCTGTATTATCATAATCCAGAGTGCGTAAGCTTCCGCTTCTTGTCCATATGTTGGGGGTCAAGGCCCCCAAAATCGTTTCATGTTTGAATTCGAGTGCGTCGACGAGGCGGTACGGGCGCGTACGTTAGTCTATCGCACGTGCACTTTGGCTCGCGCTTCCAACATCCTGCTACTCAAACGAGTTCGTAGAGGCTGAATAGGTGCAGGAAGCCGCTGTTGCTAGTACCTCTGCTCACATCTTGGTTCAAGCGTTCTTTTTTTGTGGATGATCCGCATTTGATGGTGACCCCGCGGTGGGGAAAGTTGATTCAAGTCCTGATCATTTGACTAGATCAGTGGGCGTTGTGTCGCGTCGATCGTTCGCATATAATCGGCCTATTTGCTTCGCTCGAAATGCAACGTCGTACGCAGACTTCCCGTGGTGTGGTGTAAGCCTGGTGTTTGATGCGGCGGTCAATAAATGGACGATGCGAATATGCAGAGTGGTGAGTGGCACAGACTATGATATGCACGCTTCGCGAATGTTGTAGGCTTGCGCAGGATCTGTTTCCGCGCGGAGACGTCGAAATCCGATCAAAATTCCAGGATGGGCACACGGCATGCTTCGACCCCCACACCCACCCAGGTCTGATTTCGCCAGCGTCGTTCGCCATAGGATACTCCGGTGCCACGCAGGAGCAGGAGTGTATAAACGCTCTTGAACAGGCGTGCCGCAGTATGGCATCATCTAATCGACGATCGGAGAGAACGTGGTGAGCGAATGCCTTTGGCTTCTTGTTGGAAACCTATTAAAGGTGTCCGCATGAATTTGTAGGACTGCGCGTGGTGGACGAGCTAGGGCTAATTGCGCGTACCATGTGACGTGCACTGGGAATCTCGACTATTGAAGCTGAGGACCCCTTTCGATGGATCTGGGACGGCGTCCTGGTCCTCGCGTATCTGTGAAGGCAGCCGCAGCGGACATATCTGTGTCATCGAGCCAACTTGGGCTTCACACAGTACGTCGGACGCCCAGGATGGTCGGAAGTTCAGCTCTAGTTCACCACACGCCTTTGCTGCAGGCTCGACGTTGCTCGTTTCGATGTTCACTGAGTATTCATCGATCTCGGCTGTAGCCCGCAGTCCCAGGGCGCCTTCTAGTGTACCCGCAACATGCGTCTGATTCGACGGATGGAGATACACGCAGTACTTCTGCAGTGCTCTGGAAACCCATTTCCTCCAAGCTTGGCCGGCGGATCCCATGCCCGCTAACATGAGTCACGACCTATGATAGACGAGCCTCTCTATACATTGTATCTCAATGTCGGCGCCCTCCACGATGCTTGTCGGAACGATAGCGCTTCGCATCACTCAGTTTTTGCTGCACTCGACATCGCAAAGCCTTCTCGTCATTTACCTCCTGTTGGAGTAATGTATTCGACGCGGCGTACGTGCTGCTGCGATTGTGGCTCGTCACGAGTACCTTCAACAGTGCCTCGATGACATGTCCGCCGTGCGGCACCCCACTCGCCGCTATGCGCCCGACGAGCCGTGGCATCGCAGCAGCGACGTCTGACGGGATATCCCCATTGGTGAGAAAAACAATCTCTACTTTCTCGACGTCGGGGTACCTGGAGAGTGACATGGACGTCAATCAAGAGAACATTCGAGGAGAGCAAGGAACGCACCAAGAAGTAAACGTGGAGAAGAGCTCATCAAGGATATTCTTCGATGATATTTTTGACTTGATGTCATCTAATGCAAGCTTTTGAAGGTCCTTCAGACCATACTGCCAGGTCATCTGTCAGTAGAGCTGCAGGGTATGGGACATCAGATATACCATCTCCGCTAGGCGATACATCGACTTTGGGGAGCACGACAGCGGCGTAGACGTATTCCTGTTGGGGACAAGCCCAGGCTGCCTCAGCTGCGACTTGAGTGGCGAAAAATTGATCTCGCCAGTGAACGCGTAGAATACGAATGCCTGTAGCCTGTAAACAGCTTGAAATGAAATCTTACACGCCTTATGCGAGATATACACACGTCTTAAATGCCACATTCTTCAAGAACACCGTCCGACCAAAATCGTACGTGCGATCCGCAGCCAAAGTGGTTAGCGAGCTCGTAGCACCAGGGGAGGGGCCCGGTCGAATCAATGAGAGAGCTTTCTGTGGTTAAGACCAAATCAGCTAGATCTTGGTATATCGTATAAACGAAGGGAATCCAATACCTTTTCTTCGAACTCGCCGCCGCCCGGAGAGCTTGCACAATTAGCTTTATCACCGATCCCTGCAGCTGCATCAGCCCCTGCCACGTCGGCTTCGCCGTTGGGCTGAGTGGATGCAGCCGCATCGGCCGTGACCCCCTCGTCC